GCTTTGATTTTATAATGTTCATGATTGAACGGCCTTCATTATTCAGTATAACCTCTTTCCATAACAAGGCGGGTACCCAAAAAAAGCCTTGGCGGGTGCCATGGCACCCGCGGGCACTGCGTTGGGGACCATTGTTGTAGGTCATTACCAGCGTCTGAGAGGAATGTATCATCTCCATCTTCAGGGTAAAGTGGAAGATGGAGGAGATACAAGATAAAATCACACAGCATCAAATTTCCACTGCTGCGAGAACATCAAATGTCAGATATCAAATAAATTATTTCTAGGAACAAATTTATATAAAAGGTTATTATTTTATGCCCATTGCCTTTATTAAACAGTAAGACGCTTTTGGTAAATTTAATAAACCTTGATTCTAACTTCATGTTAGTTATACTGAAGCCATCTGGCTCAAAAAATTTCACTGATTATGCTTCACAAACACAAAATAAATTAAATGGTATGGGACATGAAGCATGTGAACAGATTAATTTAATGTACTCTGGGCAAATAACACATCAATCCTGAAACATATTTGGAGGGTAAAAAAAAATTGATGTAAAGAAATCCACCTTTTCTCCCAGACGCTCAGCTCCTCACTGGTAAAGTAGCACCACGCTGGCACAGTCTCTCTGTACATTGCTCGCAGGATGGACGTTGCATTTGATTCTGCATCATAGTTAAACATCATCTTAACGGCCAGTGGGAAGTTGGACAGGTCTTGCTCAGTCGTGTCGATCATAACGTTTGGTTCGAATTTTCGTTGAGCCACGTTCTTCTCTGACTCTGAGAATAAAACCAAGATGATATAAACATAAATTATATAAGTAATATATTAATGCATCTCTAAGTAGCCATGATGTTTCCCCATCAAAATTCTATACCCACTTATTCATCTCATGTCAGATGCATGTACTGCCCAATGCAGACTGTAACACTTAAACCAAAACCAAATATAATTACCATGAAATTCACAGATCTCTGAATGTCATAGTTGTTAATGAATTTCAGATCAACAATTAATTGATAATGAAAGTGACTGTCTTCTGGGATGTTGCACCTCGTTGTCTGGTAGAAACTCTCCAATGTTTCACAAATGCTTCCTGCCTCTATCATCAGTGCAATCACGCTGATGATGGAGGCAGTAAGCACCTCTGAAACATCAGTCAGTTTCTACCAGATTACGAGGTGCAACATCCCAGAAAATGGCCACGTTCATACTCACCATTGTGAGATTCTGATATCTCACCAACAATTAATGTTTATTCACTTAGCAGTTTCAACTGTCACATGTGATATTACCTTGCTTCTTGCGAGCAGCATACACAACAGCATTGCACCCTTTTGCAATGGGTGGTCCCAGAACCAAGGAATTGAGTCCTTCATCTGTTACCTCAGTATCACTGCACTCAGCCTTTGCAGTGTTCCACTGCAGCCGAGACACTGCCTCCTGCAAATACCACATTTCAAACTAACGACTATTTGGAACACATATAATTCCAAGTGTGAACTTCGCAGCTTTGCGTATATCACTATCCTTTACGGTCAAATGCAATCTGTTGTTGCTCAATTAATCACTCTACAGATACAGTACATGTAAAAAATAATTCTCCATGTATGTCACTAAATAATTATTATAATGAAAAATGTTTCAAATAAGAGTTAAGAATCTTAGTTATTTATTATTCTTGTATTTAACACAACTCTGAGCTTTTAGAAGTCTAATTTACACTTCACATAAAACAGGGAATATACTGGCCCAATATGGACCAAAAATTAAATTCATTAGACTATTTTAGTGTAGACCCAATACCAAATCTGTCAAGAAGTTTCGAACATAAAACATATAAATTCATAACAATCATATTACTTTGCTCCTCAAGCAGTGTTTCATTCAGTAGCAGAATTCAAATAAGTATTTTAGAATTTACTTGTGTTCTCTTCCACTTCACACAATATGTCAATACCAACATGGACAATGCATCATGCACAAATGAAGCTGCCATGACTGTCTGTCAGTACAAACATAGCACATGAAAAAGTGCAAAGTACAACCCTCTGAATGTGACTCTTATAACTACTTCCCTCAGACTCTACGCCCACTTCTGTTTATGATACATTAAACTTCATCTTATCAATGTTATGATAACATATATTTATCAGATGACATTTCCAGACAATATGACAGATTAAAATGGCACGCCTTACAAACAGTAAAAGTATGAGATTTAATGAAATGGAATGTGAAGATGTTAATTTATCTTTCTTAGTGTAGGCACCAGTGGTAGGCATCTGCAAATACATAATGAAACTTAAAGAGTTCCATAAAAGACTGGGAAATATCTAGGTGGGTAACTATTAGCTTTTCAATAAGGACTCTGTTCCATGAGAATAGTTAGTTTCAATATGTGTTTCCAATGAGTTTTGTTGGTAGTTTCTATATTCATCATGGCAACTTGATGAAGCTACTTGACACCTCATGGAGATTATGTGCAGAACATTTTATATGCTGACCCTGTCAGTATTTAGGTAAAAAGGAGCCAAATTGTAACTACAAGAACAATTTTGCAAGTGTGAGGATTAATCCCAAATAAATACGCTCTTCTTCAAAATGAACAGGCACTCACAGGAGCAAGAACGAAGTCTGTTAAACAAGTTAGCAACTTACTCTGATTTCCCAGCATACGCCCTCCAGTTCATCATCCTTCGTCAAAATTCCTGTTCCTGATGCCAAACTCACGCCAACCAAAGCAAAAAAGGGAGCAGAATCGCCGAACAGTAATCTTTTGGCTGCCCTTTTACGTAAATCGGTAGACAAAGAATTTGTAACTCTCCGAAGTACGTTGTTAACAAATAGACGTCGGGTATGCACACGCACTTGGAAGCCAACATTTCGAACTGCCGACTGTACTGCAGATGTACTAGATTCTATCTCTGCTCCCCTCGGGAGAATGTTAAGTTTGACTCCGTCCACCACGTCTTTAGGATTTCTCTGGGGCTTAAATGTTCGCAGAAGTATACGACCATTTTGAAACACTCGATGAGCAATTGCACGCAGTGACATTTCGCACTCCTGCGCTGATTGCGCCCACAGGGACGCAAATCCTACGACGAAGATCCTTATTTTGAATGTTTACTATATTCGACTGACAACTAAAGTTTCCTCACGACAGAATCAACAATCTCCTGTAGACGATTATTACGCCTCCAACCAAACAAAAAGCTTTCAATTGTTTGTGGATATGACGTATTAGATATATAAATAGAGTTTACTTTTCTTAAACGAATTTCGGCCAGTTTCAAGCTGGTTACACCTCATTTATTTTTAGAATATTTTGCATGAAATTTTGAGTTAGTATGACCGACATTTATTTTGTAAAATTACTAAGTTTTATATTAGAAATTTCCGGTAGATGACGTTTGTGTTCTACATAGTAGCTTCCGGAATTCCGAATTAATCTTTAATTTAATCGTATAAACTAAATGTTGATTGAATTTTCTGTGAGCTTATGTATTGATTCGTGAGTTTTAATAGTTTACTTTTACGGATTAATTAACTTGTAGTATTCTTGTGAATCGAATGAACGTTTCCTTTATAATCGTTTAACCTTGAAGTTTGGAGTAGACATTTATGGTAGCCCATGGATGTTATTGTGTAGACACTGGCATATTCTGTGATGTATCTACTTTCTGTACTTATTGCAATTATTAATTTGTCAATGCATCATTGTTAATTGGTGAGTTCATTTGTAGTGAAGTATTTGCTCCTTAGGTAATCGCAGGCATAAATGAGTACTCTCGCATGACCGTCTTCCACCACATTTGTGTCACAAGGTGACAGTTGTGTCGAGAGGCCTGTTACAACCTATTTGGGTAGATGAAGTATTTATAGACGGAGAATGGTGACTAGCCGGAAAATGGAATGTTTTATTATTATTTCTACTTTTACATTTCTCTAACAGTAATGAAAGGTTAACGAAACGAGAATGACCACAAGTAAGACTAACAGTGCGACAGCACGCCTAAAACAAGACTATTTGCGGTTGAAGAAGGATCCAGTTCCCTATGTTGTAGCAGAACCGTTACCAGCAAACATTCTAGAATGGTACGTATAACCCTACTTTGTGGCTAAATGTGGCATATTTTTAGAATATTTTAAGAAACGGTAACTTTGGTGTTTTTGTTGTTCCAGGCATTATGTTGTCACAGGACCAGAGAACACTCCATATGATGGAGGACTGTATCATGGGAAACTTGTGTTTCCAAGAGAATTTCCATTCAAACCTCCTGGCATATACATGATCACTCCAAATGGAAGGTCGGTACTTGTACTTTTTCTGTTTGCTGGATTTTTCCAAATCTGCCATGCATCTCACATATGGATCATGCCATTTAAACAATTTTACAAAGGAACTTGTTCCCTAAATTAAAATTTTCATTTAATATTTATGAATCTTACCATTACTGTGCCATAGCCCACACTTTACTAAAAATGTTATGAACTGCAATGTTGTTACAGTCATTTTATCAGGTGTTCTTATATTTACAGGTTCAAGACCAACACGCGTCTCTGTTTATCGATAAGCGACTTTCATCCTGACACCTGGAACCCTGCCTGGAGTGTGTCCACCATCCTCACAGGACTCCTCAGCTTTATGGTAACATCCTGATGTAAATAGATAATTGGATGGGGGCATTTCCTTAGTGTAAGGCATGGGACTCATTCATAGGGTCCCAGATGCAAGCCTCTCTCTCCTACCATATTTTCCCACCTTTCACAAAAGAGGCTCGGGTGGCCAATTCATAGTAGTATAACCATTGCGTCTGGTATAAAGTTAACGCCTCTGTCAAAAGAGTTAGTTTGGTTTGGTCTGAACCATTTGCTATGCCAGCTCAGTTCCGTCAGCAGCAGTTTATTTTACGTTTTCTGTTGCCAGATCGAGAGAAGTCCAACACTGGGAAGTATCGAGTCATCCGAATATGAGAAAAGACAGCTGGCTGGTCAGAGCTTGGAGTTCAACCTCCGAGATAATGTGTTCTGTGACCTGTTCCCAGACATGGTTACCGTAAGTGCTATATAGCAAGCCTGTCATTTTGTTTTGTTGGTAAGAACTACCTTCTGTCATATTTAGTCATGCATTGAATGTTTCAGAGCATCAAGACTGAACTTGAAAGACGGGCTGAAGTGGAACGAGCTGCTCGAAGCAACCCCCAGTCTGTAACATCAAACGACATGGAAGCATTGTTGCGGAATCAGTTTGGCCACAATGACCAGAGTCCACTTTACAGTGCCATTACGAATCTCTGCGTTGTGATAGGATTTGCAGCTTTTGCTTATACGGTCAAGTACGTGCTGAGGAGTATCGCTACAGAGTGAAGTCGGCCGGACAACTCGTCACTTATCGTTTTCACCCCCATTCTCTTTCCAGACTTTGTGTCTCATTTTTAATTGTTAAACTTGTGTTCTGATTTACATCTCATAAAGAGTATATGCAATTTGCCGTGGAGGCCTGAAATTTCTGGTGAAAGTAAAGATTAAAGGTGGGTACTTAGTAGAGTTCATAGACTGGATGAAACACAAGATATTACTTCCTATACCAGCATATGAACAGACATGACAGGTATATTCAGAAACGTTTATGAATAATTTCCATTTTCAGGAAATTCATCTGTGACTGCTTTGCTGATTGAAGTAACACAAAAAGAAAACTCTAACCATAAGATCGTAAATTCTGCCTGCAGAATGTGTACTTGCTACATAATTTCTGATGACTTTTAAATATTACAAAGTGGAAGTATTTATTCTTATTGATGCTTCTCTCCTGCTTTGTTTGCCACAGTTTATTGTTCTATGTTTAATGTAATGTGAAAACTCCAGTTTTATTTTCCTTTTGTTTTCAATGTTACTATCACAAAATATGTGAACAGGGCTGGAACCTACTATTTTGTAGAATATATTACTGTACATGCAGTAGAACAAAGACTGTACAGAATATGTATTTCTTCTGATCCACAAATGTTCCCAGTTGTTTAGTTTAATAAACGTAAAATGGACAGGTTTTTGGGCAAATATTTATTTTGTAGCGCGTAATGCAAGGGTTTATAATACAGTACTAAAGACTATTGTAAGTACTGCAATGAGATCTGAAGGATCAGGTTTTTAAAAAATAATTTGGAAAGATAATGCAAATAATATTAAAGATGGACTTCTTAAGTTAACTGCAAATAGTTGCTACAGTCCACAGACCAAGAGAAAAGCCCTGCTAGGAATTCGTTATACATGCGCATAGTGTAAAACTCTGACATATCGCACTTCCCACCAATAGCAGCCCTCTAGTCCACCTGAAGGTAAACATTCCCCCTGCACCGCCCCAGAAATGATTTCCCCCCACAGGGCTTTTCTCCTGGTCTGTGAACAGTACTTGTACTGTATTTTATCCCATCCCTACTACTTCCAACACATCAAGCAACCAAATACTACAAGGCGTGCACCTCTCGATGGTGCGAGATGAAAAGACATCTAGAATAACCACCAGGACACTGCCTGTGCGGTCCAGTGTGAATTGAAGCAATGGACTGGTCCCACTGCTTGAAGATGAGTGTATGGTCCACGACTAATCTTGAGACTTGCGGCGTGAGGAAGTGGGGTGAAGGAGGAAAGATAGCGTCTGTCTTTAATGCTACGGACTTCCTGCATTCCTTGCAAGTCTCAAGATTACAGTCGTGGACTATACAGTAGGCAAAGTATAATTTGTCCATCACCATATTCAGATTTTTGACGTAAATATGTCTATACGGGATGGACTTCTTAAGTTAACTGCAAATAGTTGCTACAGTCCACAGACCAAGAGAAAAGCCCTGCTAGGAATTCGTTATACATGCGCATAGTGTAAAACTCTGACATATTGCACTTCCCATCAATAGCAGCCCTCTAGTCCACCTGAAGGTAAACATTCCCCCTGCACCGCCCCAGAAATGATTTCCCCCCACAGGGTTTTTCTCCTGGTCTGTGAACAGTACTTGTACTGTATTTTATCCCATCCCTACTACTTCCAACACATCAAGCAACCAAATACTACAAGGCGTGCACCTCTCGATGGTGCGAGATGAAAAGACATCTAGAATAACCACCAGGACACTGCCTGTGCGGTCCAGTGTGAATTGAAGCAATGGACTGGTCCCACTGCTTGAAGATGAGTGTATGGTCCACGACTAATCTTGAGACTTGCGGCGTGAGGAAGTGGGGTGAAGGAGGAAAGATAGCGTCTGTCTTTAATGCTACGGACTTCCTGCATTCCTTGCAAGTCTCAAGATTACAGTCGTGGACTATACAGTAGGCAAAGTATAATTTGTCCATCACCATATTCAGATTTTTGACGTAAATATGTCTATACGGAAGGGTCATTCAGCAAAAAAGCATAACGAAGATGTGTAACATCCATATCAACAATGTGTAAATATGGACCGACAACAATGGTGAGCTTTTATATGAACTCTTACGTCCACTGTTATGTTACCTAAGAAACTAATTGTTACGTCATCAGTTTACTCGGCATTGTTGTGTTACATTACTGCCGTCAACAAACCGCTTTCGTTATTGCGGAAAGAGCTGAGATGTCAATCGCTTGTAGAAGAAGTGCGTCGTAGAGTAGATAATTTTGTGCTGGTAATAACGTTTTAGAATATCAGAAGTTCTTATCTTATATATGAATTATTACATTACATTTCGTTACATTTACGCCAGATTCTCCGGAACCGTGGTTCCACTGTCAAGTTTTCTCCTACTGACCTGGTGTGTTCTTGTCAGCTTATGTCATGGTAGGTTCCCCATTAATTTCAGTTACTAGTTCATAACAAAGTAATACTCCCCAAGATATGGCATCAGAGATAAATTTTTACCATAACAGAAGTTTTCTCTTAACAGGCCTCTAAATCTGAACGTAGATGAAAAAATTATAAATTCAAAACTGTCATTCCAATTTTTGATAATGAAAAACTATCCAGACATTAATTTTATCTAATAGGCTCATATAAATTTTTCCATACAGTCGCATCTGCAAGAGGTAAGACATTTTCCTTATGCTTTTAATATGACGATCCTAACATTGGCAGGCATGGAACTGGTCCTATGAGTACTCCCACTTCAGAAATGTATTCTATCCATATACCTAGAAGGGCAGGGGCCAGAGAGGCACTCAAAATCAACCACATTATAAATGTTGCTTCTAGTATTTATTCTGTCTCTATTCTAAGAAACTTCCAAATTCTATGTAGCAAGACAGAACACAATCACTGTAACGCAGACTACAAAAAGGGAATGGATTTCCACTAAATCACCTATTTCATGCAACGTTCTGCCATTTGTATGTTACGTTGAAGGTGGTGCAATGGGACCAAATAAAATACAAAGAAACTTCAAACATTTTATGCATGTTCGGCATATAAACACACAACCCTTGGCACAACAAATAACAATCTACATACCTGATATGTAGTCTTGGCTTCATTTTGTGATACTTTTCACAAGAAGACCACTTCTTTATTCAGAAAATCATGATGTACTAGAATCCGATCCTCTCCTAGAGATGTGCAAACACTCAAATATCCAGTTGTACTCGCCTTAAATGTTACTTTCCTTTTAATTTTTTTTTTGTAATTTTGGTTGAAAAATCTTGTGGAAAGAGACAACTTGGAAGAGCTATGTGTAGATGGGAAAACAAAGTAGAATGGATGCTCAACGATCAACTTGTGAACTGCCTCACTGTACAGTGCCAAGCTGATATACATGTGAATAGGTATGAATTGCACTGTTTCAAACATCCAAAACCAAAGCAAAAGCAACCGCACAAAAAGTCCACGAACAATCTGAATCTGACCCGTCTGCACATCCCTACATTCCACCCAGCTGCTGCTTATCTGCTGCATAATGGCTGATGAACCTCGCTGAGGGATCCTTCACGTCAGTCCACTGTGGCATCCAGAAATAAGGCAAAAAATGACTCTGCTTTGGGAAGTTCTTCTCAAACACCTCCCTGAAAATTGGTCACAAGTACAGGGGCCTATTTTATCAATCTGTTCCCAATTTCCATTATCAGCGACTTTCAAATTCCCTGCTTGAGAGTTCAGTCAATAAAACAATCCACTGCAATTAAAAATTGTAAATTACTCGTATCTTAATCGTCTATGATGCCATTTGTGTTTCTTCTGTTAAATACAACAACAGTTACATTTTAAAAAATTATAGAATAGGGATATTAGCTTGAAATGGACCACAGCTGCATCTTCTATTCTCCTTTCATCACATCTGATATATCATCATTAAATGTCGTATGAATAAATAAATACATCTACTTTACTAGTGTCATTAAAAAAGGCACAAAACAATGTCCGGTCAACATACCTGTAATAAAAAGATTCTTTAGTGGTTGGTGTGCAGTGTGGGAACTTTTCGGAAGCCTTTTCCAGAGTATCGTTACCCAGACGAGAGTCCACCAGCTCCTGGATCACTTGGAACAGTGACTTCTTTGCTGAAGCCACCCCATCACTGGAAACAAAAAGTACCATCTGTGAAGATTACATGGTATATGACCTGCTTTCAGTGTTTGTATGAAAGTGTCACTTTCAGAATGGATGGTGGGTACTTTTTATTTGTTTATAGTTTATTTAACAACACTGTCAGTAGCTCAGACTACATAGTAATGAATAACAGATGAATAATGAATCAATTAGATTGTATATAGAAGAAATCATTACTGGTCTAATAAGGAATTATCCCAGCATTTGGCTAGAGAGAATGATAAAACCCACAGAAGTTCGGACAGGAAAGCTGTTCTGCAAGCAAAGATTTGAAACCAGGAGCTCCCAAACACAAAACAGGAGTAATAACCACTCAGACATGACGTTCAGTCAGATAATGAGGTTCTCAACAGACAATAGTTAAGAGCATCTGAGCGCAATTAACCTGAATGCCTCCTTGTGCCGCCACAGGATGGACTTGGGCAGTAGATCCGTTGAGTCAAATGCAGAGCGCAGTAGATGCTTCTCGACGCCTCCCTGTGGCTGTCGTGTGGCTGCTGGTAGTCCCAAGTAGTAGTTTGTGAACTGAAGGTCAAGGAATGGTACACGCAGCTCCAAACTAAACAACAAGCAATATGAATCAGGATAAATGCAGCCATTTAAAAGTTTCTCAACTTAAGGTTATTTTTCTCAATCAAGATTAAATTTAAATAACTACAAGTTGAAACACTGGCCTTTAAATTTCATTCAATACACAATTTCCCTGATCAAACACCGATAATATCAAAGTCAGCCACCGGACATGATCCTGAGTCGGTTCATCCCACTTCCCATCCATCCATCAGAAGGCAGTAATGGGCTGAATGTGCCAGAAAAGCAACACTGTAAGTTCTCACCCGTGTGCTGCCGTGGTGCGATCAGCTCTAAGCCCATCAAATAAGTAAATGTCCTTCAGCAGACGGAGACTATCACTGTGAGCTGCATCTGCAGATGGGGCATCCCTGAAGTAGATGTAGCCCTGCGCCACCTCATCAGCACCCTCCCCGCTAAACACCACCGTTGTGTCTGTGTTCTGCTTAATGTAACGTGATATCAGATACATTCCTACAGGCAAAACATTTACAGCGATTAACACTGGAAATAGAGTTCTTGGTGGCAGCAATGGAGTCGGCCACTCTCTCGACAATAACTCGGATTTACGGATGTGTTTACTTTCCTCAATTATATTTTACCTCAACTGGGAAAATTTCTGTTTACAACTACTCAATTTTGTATTTTCACTTACTTTTAGTGACCAAATAGTTTGTGCCGAATACTGATATATTTTTTCCTGTCTATATTATGGCCAGCTGAGTGGAGATCAAGAGAAAACCAAATTTTGTGATCAGTCAGTACACCTCCCAGAACAGAAACGAAGCAGTGGTATTGCAAACCAATGTCTTAGGGACCTGGACACAAATGACATACAAAACTATTTCATACATCCTTGTGTATATTCAGTGTAGGTAATTACACTGTTGCTTCAGTTTTCCAATACCACATAAAGATTTTAATTTGTATATTGAAACTAAACATGTTTAGATATGCTGCTGGTAATTAGTTTTGGAGACTATTAATTATACTGCATAATGCAAGACGAGCAGGGTATTGTTCCTCAAACCCCCATTGCTGTTTTTGTGGTCCAGGAATCAGAAAAAAATTTTGAACTCCTAGCTTAAAGGAACTCGGAGATAAATATAACTCACCAATAGATGCTCTGACAGTTGTGATGTCAGGTGTTTCCAGATGGTATATCACTTTGTCCAGGACACTCATCACATCCTGTTCTGTGAAGATCACCTCATGATGTTCTGTTCCAATATGATTCGCTACGACTCGTGCTGCCTCAATGTCCGGACTGTTTCCCATGCCAACTGCAAATGACTGCAAAATCAACAACATATAGTTCTTGTACCACGCTTTTTTCTTTACCTATTTCCTGGAAGGATGTGAACATCCGCTTGCTTTTCAATATGCAGCATCAACATATGTGCGGCTAGACATTTCATGCTCAGATGATTTAAGTGCAAACAGATACTTTAATGGATCGACCGACTTAAATGGTGTTTCAGCAAATACAACGTTGATGGGATTGTGGGTGTAGAGGTGATTCAATAAACAACCTCTAAAACCAAAATTTGACTAAACTTAAGATTAAACTAATAATCTGACAACATAACACACCTGGATTTTGTACGGCAGATTTTCATCCTTGGCTAACTTCACCAGCAAAGCAGCCACAAGGCTTGAATCCAGGCCCCCAGACAACAAGCAACCTATTCGTCGGTCAGCCATGAGGCGCTTCCTGACTGCAGCAGTCAGCAGTGTCCGAATGTTGGCATGAACATCATTGATGGAAAGAGCTACGGAACATAACCTTTTAATCACCTAAATCTACTGCTGGGAACAGAAAAATCATTCACTTCATACAGCTTCAACTCACATTCATATGGAATGAGGGGCTTGAAGTAAGGTTTATTTCCAATGCTGTAGAATGCTTTCTTCATTACGAAGGTTGTTCTGCCGGTCTCATTGATCTCATAATCTTCCACACAGCCAGGTGGAAACGGCTCGAGATTCGGAATTTCCCCGTTCACCTCATGTTCCAGGTCAATCAAACCTGAGGTTCAACATTTTTAATGTGTGTGTATGAATGAATAAAACAAATAAAGCACTAAAAACAACATAAATTTAAAAACTGGCTTGTCACAATAAAATACAACTTCAAAATGTATTTACTTAAAATTATGCAGAATACACTAAAATGTTAGGCAATATCAATAAGGTAGATCAACGGATATGAATAATTTTTGACACGTAAATGAAGGCAGACAATGTGAAAACAGTTTTGGAAGTATCTAAATTTTGGAAGTTAAGTTACTTAAATTTTTGTGATAGAGAACTAGTGTGAAGAAATAACAAACCTGTATGATGGGGATAACAAAGTTTTGAAACTGCCATTCTGAAGCACTGTAAATGCGACAGACATAACACAAACCTTTCGCTTCCGAGCAGATGCCCAGAATTCCGGTCTTACTGAGCAGGCGAAACAGGGGTCGAACGCCATAAGGGTCACGACCGAGATACAAATGCTGCTTGGCAGAATCCACAATACAGAACACAAACACACCATCCAAACTCTGAGCACAGTGCTCTATGCCACCAGTAGCATAGAGATGCAGGATACACTCCACATCACAGTTTGTCTCGTACTTGAATCCATACTCCTCCTTCAGCTACACAACACAAACACAGTCCACATAACCCAAAAGAATTTCTGGGAATATTAGGACACAAGATAACCAATTACATGTGAATGAAATAGGGAGAATCAAACAAAATGCTAGCGCACCAGTAATATTTGTTTGTTTGTGCTGTCAATACGAGTCAGGGTAACTGTCAGTTTTGCAACCGACTATGGACTGGACAATCCCCAGCAGAGGCAAAGTATTTTCTTCTACCTCTGCATCCAGACCAGCTCTGGGGCCCATCCAGCCTCCTATCGAATGGGTACTGGAGGTCGTTTCCCCAGGGGTAAAGTGTGGCCAAGGCACGATGCTAACCACTCAACCTCGTATCGTACCAAGGTCAAGAACAAGTATCAACTGTAACACCTCTTCCCCCCAAGCACCTCCATTAAATGTAGTGAACAGCTTTATTTTTATGCTGCGAGTCGCACAGATTATATACTGTTGATTGATAGGAAAATTAATAAAAATTATGTAAACAATAAAGAAAGCTACAAATGTGGAGACTGGTAAAAATCAGCGCAATGCTATAACTGACAAAAACAGTACCTGTGTAGTAGTCAATAAGTCAGTGGGGCACCTTCTTCAGGATCATTAAATTCAAGCTGTTTAACAAGTTCTTAACATGATTTAAAATCACTGCAATGTAACAATATTGCAATGAACATGATACTGAATGAAGACGTAATTAACACTAGTTTGAACATGTGTAATGCCACACATGCAAAAAGCAGAATAATATTCCAAACAGGCAAAACTGTCATAAACACAGAGAGACGGAAAATTGGGGCTGACTGAGATCGCTCTTAGAATGCTTATCTCTATTTCTCATCTGAAAAGGATAATGATTTTAGCAAACTACTTTGTATGGGTTTGAAACTTTATCTCACCCTCTTGCAGTTATAGATCTCACCATTGCAGAGTAGCGAAAGATGAGGATACTGATGCAATTTCATGGGTTGCATCCCATACAGTGAGTCCACAATCTCCAGGCGATGAAAACCGACAACGGAATTCTACAAGCCAAAGACACATTCTACAGTGATTTCATAAGAAAAGTGTACTTTCCAAAACCTCCTATTAATACACAAAATCTCGAATTGCACTGTTCTTAGCATCTATCCTTTTCTCATTGGTTTCAATGACAATTTACTGCAGACAGGTTAAACCAACAATAAAATGTCTTAATCAGTCCGTGGTTTATTTTTCTATGCTAACACATTTTCTTAACTCACATGTGCAAGAAGAAACCACACACCTTAACTTTCTTGTCAAATTCTATCCTCCATGCATCTGGGCCCCGATGAGAAATTTTACTAAATGAAGTGTTAGAATGAACTGAAGTATGGGTTTCCATCCCAAATAATGCCCAAATACCACACATGATACCTGAAACAACATAACAACACTGTAACCTTATGTTTTAATGTTACATATTTTATGTCAAGCCAGTGTCTGAATACTTTGTCATCAGGGACAATATTTTTTAAGATAAACATTTCACACTACATATTACTTTAACACTGGGACAGCTTTAGATACATAGGTCTTGACCAACTTCATCATATTCAGTAAAGGGTAAAGCTTGCCCTGAGAGCTGAAATTATAAATAATACTTAATGACTGCAACAAATTAACCTGGGAGTTTGCAGTCCAAGTTCCAAATCCACAAAGGTAATCTTCATTTTTCCTAGTTTTCATGCTCGACTACAGGTTATAACAGAAACTTTAAGTATAATTAAATATTAACATATGTCTTTCCCTTTAAAACCAAAGTGTCAACATATATAAAGTTTCAATCAAAATCAATGACAACCTCACAATTCGTACCTTGTATATTATTAAAATTCCACGGCGTATTCACCAAACTATAGAGCTGGCAAAAACGTTTTAATTAAAACTGCTGACAACAGGCCTCGTGGCAAAATCCCGGCACATTTTACACATATGTAATAACAACCACCCACATGCAATTGACGTAGCGCCTTGCACATTGTGCTGCACCCTGTTCGCGATTCACAAGTAAACAGAACAGCGACGTGATAATAGCCCGATCGGTAAGATCAACTACTCCTTAACCTTCAAAATAAAACGAGCTTATACACACAGCAGAAACAGTGCTAATCCAATCATAATAAAAATTCTACGAATATCTTACACGTTTTGCAAAATAAAATAAAAACATGAACATAGTAAAAAAGGAGACAAGAAAAATATATTTAACCTAACAGAATATTCTCTTCTTACAATGAAGTAGTAAAATATTCAAAAAATTTTGATCCTTTCACGGCACAAGAACCCAAAAGACGGCCGTCCTCAGACTCACCGCCGTGAATATCTCAATTCCTACGATGACAAAATCTTTCGACATTCTTCTGCATATTAGAAATTCTTGTATTAGTAGTAGTCCCTGTGAATTGTGCCAAGATGTCTCCACGAATCTCTCAACCTGCCCTATATGATCTTCCACCTATTGATCCTTCATGCGAGATTTATTGTGCAGCTGATGCAATATTCAAGTACGATTTCATGACGGTGATTCCGAAGATGGCTATCTTTTGGATTGTAGTTTGCCAGACTGCACGGTGCTATAGCCCAGAAGACAGCCATCTTCGGACGCAATATCTGGTCCCATTAATGGATTATTGCCCTTTTGTGGTTACTGTCGCTCTGGGTTATTGTTTTGTTGACTGAACACGCACTCTCTTGGATTATGGTGGATCGTGATCCATAAATGTCGTGGGCGAAAAAAGAAAATTAGCCGATTTTATTGCATAAGAGCGTCAGCATATACTGTCACACATTTCATGATGGCAAAATGTATGTGTAATGTAAAACTGTATATAGTCTTTTCACCACAAAACAGTATAATATAAGCCACTCCCAATTCTCACTTAAATTTTAATGGGGTGTAGATTAAACCCTTTTGACACAGTCACTTATTTATACTTAGAGCACATTTAACACGAAATCTCCCTTCATTAGCAAACATTTCCCTTCTAAATTAAAGTTCACATATTTCCTCATGTTTCTGGTGAAAGGGTGGGCTGTCATCCAATTTCCCATCTTTCCTAAATACCGAATAGCAACAGCTGCCGATGTTACCAGAGTGGTTAGGATCATGACAGACAGCATGCTACCTGTCAGTGTCAACCATAGAATTACTCAGTATTAATATGTCAGAAGAACATATTACCTCCACATTAAGGATGAAGATGGATACACTATGTTCCTCCAAAACATGGGCACAGAGCCAAAATATTACAACACATAAGACCACCACCAGTATTACTGGATTAATTCTTTTGCTGTTGACGGCCTCTGCATGAGATACAAACCTTTCAAAATAGGTTAACGTTTCTCTGTGCAGACACTACACAGCCGTTTTAAAATAAAATGCAGAGATGAAAAAAACTGAGTGATACTGATTTTCTCCCCACCATATCTTGCGCAGAAACTGATGTTTCATTAGAGCCATTAAAGAAAGCCCCATGTGATGTCATTAGACATGTCAAATGACCCCCATGTGATGTGATGTCATTAGACATGTCAAATGAATCAGTAACAGTCTAGTCGCTTCCGCAGACAATTAGCACCTCTGCTCAAGGGTAAACATGTTTGATGATAATACATCATGATTGACAGCATAAAAGAAAAGTGTGACAGTGGTAGGAATCTGAACTACTCTTGACACTGAAGGTATATACACATGCAGTATCATTACCAACTGTCATGTTCATGCAGCAGTCTTCTAACTGAAACTAACACTAACAACAAACATTAATAATATCTTTCCTTTAAGGTGTATAGATTCCTCTTTATTTCGTTATTCTACGATTCTGTGCCAAATGTGTATGTCAATTATATTAAATGAAATGAGATATGGTAGGATCATCATGACTTACGAATTTTAAATAAATGTGGGAGGAATAAGTTGGGCAAAACCACAAAAAAACTCTTAATCAGGACAGCTATGTCCAGACCCATGTGGTTAGTGTAGCTATGTTGACAAGACATTTACTCTACATTTTGTTCCACAACAGCACTGCTGCTTCGTAAAACACTATGGCTGGACCTTACTACAGAATTTCACTTTCTTGTTTGCTCTTCCGGACAAATTACATTAACTAATTCCTAGCCACTAACAATGTGTCAACACTGCTCTAAGTGAAACATCAGGAATGAAGAAAGACTGTACATGTGTACACGCACATACGAACGATCGATTACCATAAGTCTGCCCTTCATATAAAAATAAGGAAGCAGACTACAAGTACCAGTAGTCAACAAGTTATATTATACATACATTTGCATACCATCAGATATAATCAATTGAATAAATAATCATACAAAATCATTAATTATTTATATCTTTAATCCTACTTAACCACGTTCAATATCATAATGTACACACCTTTTTACAAACAAACAAACAAAACAAAAACAAGAAGAAGAAATTAATGTGTAATAACCATGTTATAAAACGATTTCAAATTTCATATTTTGATTTACAACCAAAATATTAAATTAATATAATCAGACTGATATAGAATCTAATGTAAAATTAATCACTTTAGCATATATTATGTTACCTCTGAGGACAGTAAACAGCAAAAAACATGTAAGGTTGAAAGTACAAATAATTAATACTTTTGTATGGTTATGTATTTAATTGATTGTGTCTGATGGTTTGCAAATTTATATAATATTATTTGATACACTGGTACAGACCTAACAAGACTTAAAAAAACTCAAGGAGTATTTATATAGGACTAGTAAAAGATGACATGTTTACTGCTGGCTCACTACTTTCTGGACGGATGTGCTCCGTTTTGGATTGTAATGGTGCTAATCGAACAACAGTTACAAGTAAAGTATTACAACACAAACACTGTCAACGGTATCCAATTAGAACACTGGCAGTTGAGCTGTGAGTGTGCAAGGTACAAGACATGCTGTGCTTCATTCTCCTGGTGCACACCATTTTGGTGGTAAGCTGAATTATATTCTTTGCTGTGATCTCTCACAGTTTAAACACCAAGAACACAAGAGCATGCATTTAGATCAGATTCTTTGCTAGTTCAAACAAATGCAAAGTACAAATATCTATTCTTAAAACCCAGTTTAATATTATCCTTCCAGTTTCAAGCATATTGGCTTACTGGCTATGATGTTCAAATCGTGACTGCTTGCTCCCAGTTCACCATTTGTGAGCTTATTAATTTTCATATATGACTTGAAGCTTTTGCTGCAAGAAAATGCAATAAAGTCTTCTCGGGTGCATTACATAGATTAAAATAATTTTAAGGAAATCAATAATGGATGTTTGATGTTTGCAGGCACTTGGAGCAAATGGCACTGTTGCCCCTCAACACAGTCTCTGGTAAGTTGGTACATGACAACATTGCAAGTCGATGAAACAAACATGTAGTGAAAAGTAAACCAGGTCCTTGATCTCAGAAAAGAATAGAGTGAAGATATCTGAAGGCAAAGTATATATTCAGACCAAAAACAAGGCAAAATAAAAATAAAAATTATTTGGACCACAATCTTCTGGGTTATGGGCCCAGAAGGTTACCACCTACAAGACCACAATTTCACTGCCATGAAGACTACAAATCTCATAAGGATATATCAAATGACACTTCTATCCTCTCCACAAAAACCGGCTACATGGATCGGTTAATCAGGGAAGCCATCGAGATCGAACTTCATCCTGATAACTTTAACAGGGAAGATGGACTTCACCTGAGCCGGTCCTGGAAGCCTCTTATCCACACACTCCGAGAACGAGCAAGAGTGCGCCGCCAGAACCAACCAGACCACTAACTCGGCCCTTTTCAGGGCCCTGATCCATACAACTAAACTCACCTTTCTCTCTCTACTTTCTCTCCCTCTCCCACTCTCGCCCACGTGCTACCATTGGTCCACTCCCATACCTGCTCCCATTGGCTCGGGGCAGGCTACACCTTTCACTTCCCTACCTATAAATCCAACTCCTCACACCCTATTGGCATATTCATCGCCCTGATGACGGAGGCAGTATGACCTCTGAAACGTTGGTTAACATCGACCAGACTACACAGCGCAATAACCCAGAAGACAGAAATCTTCATACTCACCGCTGTGAGAACCTCAAGTCTTACATATATCAAATGAATTAGAATAAATGAGACTATATTGGTTTGGACATAATAAAAGAATAAGATGTACATTCTAGAAAAGTAAAAGAAAAACCATCAGTAGGAGAAAGACGAACATGAGAACCAAGAAGTTGTTGGCTCCGTTTGGTAGATTATGGTTTATGTGAGATGAAATATGAAATAGTGGAGGAAATCTGACTAGGGAGATTATCAAACCGGTGAAATGAGTCTTTATTACGGATCACTTAATGGTTTTCCACTGGGTAAATATAATGTTGAACGGTGCAGGATAAGTGTGAATGATGAATTTGAGAGTATGTATGATTGAAATCCATGACCACCAGAATATGAACCAGTTGTGTTAACCACCTGTAAGTAGCATTCAGTGTTATGAACTTCTGACATGCTTTCAGGACCCTAAGACCTATCAGAGAACAGTGTTGGGGCCCCGGCACATGGCCACACCCTGCCCACTGCCGCCTGTTCTCAGTGTGTCATCTCGGGTTGGACAGAACCATTGTGGGTCACCTGTTCCTGTGTCCACTGGGCAGTAGCTATTCCTCAAGGAGCCAGAGCTGCATTACCAGTCAGACAGTAAGTCCTATTAGAACAAGTCAGAAGAAATATGACACCAGTCTGGAAGTTAGGTTTTGATGGTGATGTATGTGCAGTTGGTTGTTTCCTGGGTTGCTGCACTATGTAGTCCTTTGGCCGACCAACGTTCTGGAGGAACTCACAGTCGGCCTTGAAGATAGAGCAATAAGTTCCTTTGTAACACTGTTACACAGCCAAAAGACTACAGGGTACACCAACCCAGAAGATCACCAAGTATAAATGCTGTAAAGCTTCTGTTCTTAAACACCATATCATAGATGCACATGGAGGTGGAAGCAGACTTTGCTGTGTTCTTAATTTTGGAACTGGATGAAGGCGAGTGGACAGCTTCAGGCTTATTTATGTATGTGTTATACTATCACATGATAAACAGACATGACAAAATAAAGTAGTTCTGAAAGAGGAAATATGTTCCTTTCAAACCCCAAAAAATAATGAGGAAGAATCTAAAACATATTATGGCGACATACATGGGCAAAAATCATACTGAAAATAGGAACGCAATAAATGACAGGTCTCTGCCCCAGGTTATGCCAAACTGTGCGACATCTCTGGAGGATGATTTCCTGCTCAAAATCCAATTTGCTGAGCAACTATCCAGCAACAATGATTTACCATTCACATGCAATGGCACCGAGATCACATACTGTGCAAACAGAGAGATAATGGTGATCTGTACACCGAACAAGGCTCTCGTGGGGTTTGTAAACTGCTCGGCACAGCACTGGGAACAAGTAAGTGCTGCAAACATAACAGTGATGCATCTAGTATGTTGCATGCTCAGATTTTAAGCATGTTTGCAATGAATTTATAAAAATGCACCTATTACCTTTGCCATGTCTGTATGCTGAATCCTGGCTTTCCTAACCAAGGTGTTTCCCTCAAAGTGGATGAAATATTCATGACAGTATCCTCAAAAAGGACTCCACTCCAAAGACTTAGATTAGTTATTTTTTATATGATATTAAGCATTCTACAAGTTTAAATAAGCATGAGGGTGTTGCATATGCTGAACTGAACTCGCTGTTTGCAGAAATATGTACCACTGCAGTGTGACAACAGCAGAAGCAGATGTACAGCTTCGCCAGTATCGGAATTTCATCAGGATAATACAACACATACTGAAGTATTTGAAACAAGTACTGACAGCACCTCTGCAGAATCAGAGGCACCCGTAAAAATCTCACAGAGCCCTTCAGAAGGAGAAACTGCTCTTCCTAACACTTCACCTCTCCTTCTTGTTCCATCTGAAAATACAGACTTCATTTCACATCCCGACAAAAACCAAACATTGGAAGCAACCAATCACATCACAAATATGTACCTACACTTAACGATACCCAACACAACCAGCGAAGACAATTATGCCAACGAACTTTACGATGGTGATGAAGATTATGAAGAGTATGACCTGGAAGGTTCCTTACCTAACTACCCTGACATAAAGTGTACCCGGAAAGGGTTGCAGTGTGCAGACAGAACAATAATCATGGACTGCTCCGAGAACTCAAGTGAGCCACTCTTCACCGTGTCATGCGCATCTCTGCTGCACAGTGATGACGGTGAGAATGCCACTGGTCATTGTGATAATGAAACACCATCCTGCATATTGTCAAGCCAGGGCATGACCTTATCACTCAACATCAAAACAATCAACACTGAAGATTCTAAAATATGCAAATTTTACAGTGGACTGCAATGTATTAATAATGATACTCTGGTTGCATGTTCTGGGTACACTAACAATATTCACTACGCAATCTCTTGTGATGGAATGTCAACGTCTGACACAAGCAGCTTTCTTCAGGGACAATGTTATGAGAATAGCTGCGTGTTTGTAATTGCTCAACACAACAGAAGTTCTGAAATATTGGCTTACCAGATCAACAACTATGAAACTTATCACTTACTAGCACCTGATGCCAACAAATCCGTAAGCGAACATCTTCACAGCAAAACAGGCACAGAAATAAACACTACAGACATTCAGGGTGAGCAATTTCAAGTGTTTGATTTGCACAGAGATGATTTCATACATAGTTTATCTAAGATTAATGAACACCACCTTGTTGATGATCATGGTGATACTGAGATTCATACAGCAAACTCATCATCTGGTGAATATACTGACCTGATCACAGAGACTGCTGAAAACATCATAAAAACTGATCAAGACAATTTACCACAGACTGACGATCTAACATCAGCTGAATCAACTGTATCAGACATTGGAGAACCTACCACAGATCTTGCGTTACTTCCCCAACACACAGAAAACTCTCCTGAAGTTACTGAATCAGAAGGTACAGATTTCTATTCAGAAACATCATCCACACTGAACGTGGACTACATTAAAATTGCATTTGAAAATAATGTAAACACTGCAATACCTGATCATAAGATACCAGCTTCTGCTTCTAAGATCAGGTACGACATCTCTGAAACTATCCTTACACAGGCCCCTAATTCTATTCCCACAGAAGCCAACTTCTGCTTCTAAGATCAGGTATGACATCTCTGAAACTATCCTTACACAAGCCCCTAATTCTATTCCCACAGAAGCCATGATGTCCATCACTAAAGGCATTCGTGGAGAAACACCTTCTCCTGTCCCTGAAATGATACCTGCAGAAACCACAACTCATGTATCCAAATTGAGTCAAACAGAAACTGACTTCTCTACCCCTGAAACTCTGCCCACAGAAACTGTGGCACCTGTCTCAAAAGTTCTTCACAGAAAGAAATTTTCTCCTGTCCCTGTAGCTATACCCACAGAAACCATTGTTCCCATGTTAAAATCTGGTCACACAGAAAGTGATTTCTCTGTCTCTGAAACTCTGCCTACAGAAATCATAACAACTGAATCAGAAGTCATGAACAAAGAAACTGCTCCTCCAGCTCTTGAATCAACACCTACAGAAACCATGATTCCTGTGTCCAAAGCGAGTCGTCACACAGAAATGTTCTCTGTGACTGAAACTCTACCTACAGAAACCATGATATATGTCTCAAAACTCATCTATAAAGAAAATTCTCCTCTTGCCCCTGAAATGACACCTACAGGAACAACTCCTATGTCCAAACCCAGTGACAGAGAAACCACTTTCTCTAACCCTAAAATTCTGTCTGCAGAAACCTTGGCATCTGTCTCAAAAGCTGTTCACAAAGAAACTGTTTCTCCCATTCCTGAAAACGTACCTACGGAAACCATGGTCCCTGTGTCCAAATCTACTCACACAGAAACTAGTTTTTCTGCCCCTAACACTCTACCTGCAGATATTCACAGTGAAACTTCTTCTACTGTACCTGCGACTTCACCAACCAAACATATGACTCCTACCTCCAAATTCATTCACACAGAAACTGCCTTCTCTTTCCATGAAGTTCTGCCTAAAGAAACTGTGACTCATGTCTGTAAATCCACCAACACAGAAAGTGCTGTCTTTGTCCCCAAAACTCTACCTACAAAGACCACAACGCCAATCTCAGAAGAAACTCGTGGGAGAACTGCATCTCCTCTCCTTAAGACTATATTTACAGAAGCCACAAACTTCAACTCTAATACCGTAACTCCTGCCTCCCAAACCACCATGCTTATCTTGGAAACCCCACTCAAAATAGTCACAGATCCCATGTCCAAACCCATTGCCATGTTAGGCACTCAGGAAGCAGATGGTGACAGCAACAAAGAACTTCGCTTCAATCTACAAACCCTAGGTACTGTTCCAACAGCTCAAGTGGCCTCTGAAGCCACAGCTCTCCTTCCTGCTGTTGAAGGGTCAGGACCTACGAGAATGGGTACAAAGTCACCAACAGCAGAAACAGATCAGTCTCAACATGTGATACCAGAGTCGAGCCCTGCCATGAATGGACCCTTCAAAGTACCTGATACACAACAGAACCTCGGAGACTTTCAAAAATATGCCTGCCGCAAAGCAGGAATCCAGTGCATGGACGGTCAGACGCTAGCCGCTTGCCTGCCCGACCTGACTCTTAGCTATACTGTGTCATGTCACACTCTGTTACCGTATGTGACGTCTAAACACCACGTAGTTTATTGCGACCATGAGTTAGAATCATGTGCTCTGGCATACTTGGACTAATCTCAACTTTTATTATCATTCAAGAAGACCTTCACAAGAAATAAAATATTAAAGCAGAAAAGTTTCCTGATGCTCTCTTCATGATTATGTACCTATCACTGATCTTGATTATATTTATGTATATTTTAATGGTTAATTAACAATGTATCAATGTAGTATGAAAAGCAAATTACGTAACATGGAATGAGATTATGGATGATTATATCATACATTTAAAAGTCCTGGTTTATTTCAAGGGAGAATACCAGCATTTGTCTCTCTCTTTATATCCTTTTCACTCCTATATGGCGCACAGAGACCTCCTTTCAGAAGTTTCTTGATCTATTTAGACATTTGACAGAACTCCTTCGATGAGTGATCAGCCCAACGCAAGGCCTCTACCTGTATGCAGCACAGCACAACACAGAAAGACACGGACACACGTCCATGCCTTGAGTGGGATTCGAATCCACGGTCCAAGTGCGTGAGGCCCACGCCTCAGACTGCATGCCCGCTGTGACTGGCAGCATTTGACTGCATTGAAAAAAATTATTGAATAACTTAATCAGTTTACCCACTCACTGTCTCAAGATTCAAACTTGGTATATTCCAATACAAGACGCATTATCACTGCTCAATCTTATTTGGTATGACTGCTAAAGAATCATAATTATATCTGAAATATACAATAATTTGAAGTCCTTTCTCTTCCATGACATATTTTAATGTACTGTTCTGTGGAAGGCATGATATAAACCATGACAATTCTAAGTCGGGATAGCAGGAATCTGAGATCTGACTTGAACTCAGAACCTCCTGAACACAAAGCCAGCTCTGTACAAAGTCCTATGAGATTAGAGAAAGGTGAAGTTGACAGAAATCATTATCCACTGCAACCCGATGCCAACAAATTCGAAGCATTACTAGGCGAGATGTCTCTGATTTTATGACACAATGATATGACTCAGCACTTAGGAATGTTAGCGTAGAGCAGAACAAATCACATGGATTACTCAAATGAAGACATTCATTCACCTTGTTGGCTGGAGGTCAATAAATAACCCTCCCTCCAGACTGAGAGATAATTGCTGCCCACTTGAGCTCATTAAAGACATAGCATCATGCCTGTTCTTCCAGTGTGAGGCCAAGTTACACTAGTCTGCCAGTAGAAGCAGGAAAGCAGTCATAATGTTGATAACAGTAGCAATAACAAAGATGATTATAACAACTGGAGGCAAGCTGTTAGAATTCTTGCTTCATTCAATTTCTGACACGGACCCCAACCTTTACACCAACGAAGACCACAAACACAGGCAAAAAGTTTTTTGCTATTCCCATTTTGGTCATGGGGTGAATAAGAAACTGAAGGTTACACATGCCTTGATAGTGTAACCTGTACTGGCTGCGTGACTCGGAAACTCAGACAGTGAGGGGCGCTGCACGGGCCAGTGTCTGGAAGACCATGTGTGAAGACAGTAGCAGCCATGAATTGGCAGGTAAACACTGTGTCTTTATGAGCGTAAAGTGCGTAGCATATTGTCACAAACAGACCTGGACACTTACACCAAAACTAAAACTTTCTCACTGTCATGACATATAAAGAAAGTGTACATATATACATACAAAATATAAACACTGATCTTATGGCAGCCAACTTTAATCTGAAACATTCTTTTGTGTAATCATTATTCATGTGTCTAAAAAATGTAAAGTTGTCCTCCACTAGAGGAAAATATTTTCCAGATTGGTCATTTGTAATTTTGCATGACCCATTAGGCTGGGGCCACACGACCTTACAAAGTACATCCGTTGTAACGCACATCGTGATGTCCGTCATAGAATCATGAAGGGGCAAGACCACAGAGCGCAACGGCTTCTTCCGGCTCCATTCGGGCAACTGACGCATCACACTGCGCTCCTGTGGTGTCCTCACCTACATCCGTACAAAAGTACGTCCGTTGGAACGGACATACTTTGTACGGTCGTGTGGCCAGGGTCTTTGTTTGGTTATTCATTTATTGTACATAAAATTCATTAAATTTTACTGAACCCGAAGTGGAGGTAATAATTGGCAAGTACACAAAATTAAGATTTTAGTATGGATCCACCAAAATCAAATTTCAGTTAAATTACTACAGAAGTTTTGGAAATAAAACACACAGATGGGCAGACAGACATGACCTTTCCATTACTTATTACCTTTACCCTCTGCATGAAACACACACGAAGATGTATTTAGACCTCACATTACTTCAGTGCATACCTTAAAATAGGTCCATGATTGTGATCTTATCTCATTGAGTGACAAATAACATCTGCAATTGATACAGCAAACAGTAAACAGTCTAAAAATAATAAAATATGTGTATATTCTAGCTGGGAGTTGTGGTGTTATGTGGTGCCAGTAGCCTGGCAACCAGCCTGGGACAAGCGTACAGCATGCAACAGCTAACTACTGTCTCTCACCATCTGACGGACAGCCCAGCATTACGGGCCTGGACAGGTACATTCCAGCACTCAGTCCACATAATAGTGTCAGAATGATGACAAAGGCACAAGTGCCTATAAGCCTGGCTTTGTGCCTGGAAGGATAGGTTAAACGCAATTGGTAGAGATGCTCCGACCAAATAGAGAGAAATCTGGATATGTCAATGTTGATCTAGAGGGCTGAATCTTCAGTCCTCAAGATGGAGGCTCTATGTTCCTTCAAAACATTAGTATCTACTCCGAAGTCCACATGATGTTACAGATAAGAAGATCAATATCAACGCCTTCATTGCCACGAGAAAGTCAAAAGTCTGGATATAGTGGGTGAGGACTTTTCTGCTTATCCTCACTCACAAGCAAAGAGACCACTTGCTTTCACATCAGTTGACTTATCATTAAAAAAATTATCATGCAATTTAACCTTTAGTGCATCAAGAGACAGGAAGTATTATTGTTTGATTCTGCCTCCAGATGTGTTTCCAATGGCTGGAGCATTACTAGGATGCCTTTTGTCATGGCTGCCTCTACGTTACCTGGGACGCCGAGCTACTCTGCAGCTTGTGGTGGCGCCGCTGCTCAGTGCCGGGTGCTGCCTTACGTTTGTGTTCTGCCACATAACCAGGGTGGCGTCTCCCGTCCTGTTGTTGGGGGTCTCTCTCCAGGGGGCTGCTCTGGGAGTTGGCTTCTCTGCTATACCAGTCTACCTCCTGGAAACAATGTGTAAGACCTGTAACGTCACATCTGCCTTTAACCTTTAATCTGTACAATGCACCTAACACATTAACCATTAATCTCAGAACTGAAATCCAGCTGGCAGCCCAATATTATGGTGACTTAAATCCCCCATTCCTATATGATAAAGGTGTAATTACCATTACTATTAATTCATCAGAAACCTCCACAATGAATACAAGATATCAGATGTACGCTGTGATTTAATCAACCTTAATCTTACAGGAACAGGGGATTTAATCCCTACTACTATGGAGCTGCTGACAGGATTTAAACCCTGTTGTCAACATTTTATGCTAGTGCAACGCACAGGCAACTGAACTGGGCACAAGACGCAGTGCACAGTTGATAAAGGTCAATAAACTGCCACACTATTTACTGTACCCTCAAAATATCTGAGAAACAATTTAAATACCTCTACAAAGCATGGCAGGAATATGGATTCAGCTGACATACGATGTTTTCACATTTACAACGACATTAAATTTCAATGCCATTTGCAAGGATAATGCTGTAATAACTGATATTACTTGTTCAACAAAAAAAAAGTTAACCTCCATTAACTTTGATAAGTGATAGACTGCTAAATATAATGTACTGTTAGCAGTACAGACTATCTATTTCTCACCTCCACCCTCTGGTTCTGAAATTTACAAATGTTACAATTCCTTCCTATGACGCTGTAGAGCATGTCCTTACCTGAACTCTGTTATGTTTCAGGTTTTCCCTGCAACACATATTCGCACACAAGATGTGCCCCAGCCCTTATCATTGCCACCCAGCTCTGTGCTGCCATTGGGACCCTGCTGGCAAGCGTATTTCCCATCTCGCCCAACACTAAGTATTTGCATCTCATCCCTGCCACAATCATGACAGTATCTGCACTTGGTATGTGCCTCACAAATGAATCTCCACGATGGCTGCTGCTGTTTGGGCAGAGAGTTGAACATGCAAAGGCATCACTTAAACAACTCCAGTCACAACTACAACTGCAGGGTTACAGTGACCCAGACATCATCATCTGCCAGGCAACGGAGTGGTTTCAAAAAGACGAAGAACAGTTTTGTGCCAGGAACGTGAACATCGCAGTTGTGAGAACGTATCTGCGTGCGCTGTCACTAGCAGCATGTTTGCTGAGCTTGCCAAGCATGAGTGGAGTGCATGTATATGACTTTTATTCAAAGTGGGCATTCAAGTTTGCAGGTGTCTTTATTACTGACAGAAATATTAGTCTGTCTGTGTTGAGAGATTCTATGCGTGTTGCTGCAGTAACCATTGCACTGGGAGTGCTCTTTGTCGCAAACGGTGCTAGATCTCAGTGCGTCTCTCTCATAATCTCAACAGGAACGATATCGATAGCATTAGGTGCCACTGGGATGTTCCTCTTTAGCCTTGAGCAAGGCGAGAACTGGAAGTGGTCAGTGTTGTGGTTGCCGCTAGTGATACACATCGTATTTCAGACAGTATTTTGGTTTGGAGTCGGTTCCCAGACTTTCATTACTGCCTACCAGTTCACTCCAACACCTCTCCGTCCTTCAATCATAAGTCTTGCAGGGGGACTGCATTGGTTACTGGAAATAACTGTCAATAAATTCCTATTTTTCATGATAGACACAATCCATCCATTTGGAACATATTGGTTTTACTGTGGAACATCAGCCACTGGACTGGTACTCATTGTATTCATGATAGTTCCAGAGATCAGCATGAACAGAGCCACGATAAACGTGGCACGCAGTCAGGTCAAATGTGAAATGGAAACAGGAAAGCAAGCATGCTCCTCTCCTCAATATAAGTAGCTTATTAATAGGAGACAGTAAGTCTTCACAAAACAAATGCAATTTTATGAATAAAGCAGATGACACCTCACCCAACATCCTACGCAGCTGTCTTGATACATTTGTAATAATGTATCAGCTATAGAAGTTATTAGCATCAAATGAAATGATATGATTATGTTACTGTGAACTGGGAAAAAAAGTTACAGCCCATTTCAAAGTATTTCCACAAGAAACTAGCTGGAAGGATTGATAAAGACAATGAGAATTTCATACAAATATACCTCTCAATTAACTATAACTCTGGTACATTTCCACTGATGTGATTTATATGTATATTATTATGTACAAATTTTACTTTACAAACTAGGACTGTCCAATTTTTAAGGCCAAACTGATGTACTTATTGCATTGCATGTACCAGGAAACACGGTAAACTGTAAATACGCAAACTGGATATCAGAATGTGAGTCTAGGAACTGGTATATACACAGGGGAAAGACTGGAGAAAGTGACGAGCATGTAGACACAGAATTACCAACTTTCAAAGCTGAAAGTATGATACAGTACAAACAAAGGAAAGAAGGACTATTTCAGAGAACTACAGAATGAACCAAGGAGTTCGGCCGTCGCGGTGGATTTGTTGTCCTCCATGGTTGCGAAACGTGTCCCCTTGAGGCCCATTTTCAAAGTAGGGAACAACCAGAAGTCACTCGGAGCGAGATCCAGAGAGTATGGTGGTTGGGTGATGACAGGAATGCTTTTCTCGGCGAGGAATTGCTGCACAACCAGCGAGGTGTCGAAACGGCCGAACTCCGGAAGATTCCAAACGAAGCCTTCCGCCAGTGCTTCCAGCAATGGCAGGATCGATGGAGCAAGTGTTTGTTTGTGCGCAAGGGTTGTACTTTCAAGGTGATTAGGTAAGCGTTGCCATATGTCCTACCATTACAGTGTTATACCACAATTCCGGGAACTTTTTGACTGCCCTACGTGTATCAGTATAATATAAGGTGCACAAGGATAGTAAAAGAATAAATTCAAGAGATTCTCATTATTATTCAGTTCTAAATACTTAAAAAAATCACAACAGACAAATACATTTAGAACTACTACTTCTTATTTAGTGACCCCAAGTGGAACTACTTTTCGACTCGACTGATGATTCTTACTCTGAGAAATAGCGTAAGGCGGGAATGGAAAGAAATACATAACAAAAAATTGTCAGCGCAAGTAGACTCTTCCCTTCAGGCTTACCAACCAAAATTTTATGCACATTTCTAAACTCCCCCACGTGCACTACATGCCCCACCCATCTCATCCTCCTTGACTTGATTATCCTAATAATATCTAGTAAACTGTACACATAATTACAGAGCTCCTCATTATGCAATTTTCTCGAACCTCCTGTCATTTCAATGCTCATACCCAAATATTCTCTTCAGGACTTGCTATCAAACACCCTCAATCAATTTTAAAACACTTATGTCTTGATATAAGTCAAATCTTACCCTCATACCCAAATATTCTCTTCAAGACTTGCTATCAAACATCCTCAATCAATTTTAAAACATTTATGTCCTGATATAAGTCAAATCTTACATATTTACTCTATACCTAGGAGGGAACATATAGAACGCCAGATGAGTCCTCTCATTAGAACATGAACGTGTTACACAAATTCAAATTGACACAAACATTTGGCCTTCACGTCAAAATTATGATGTGATGAGTGTGGATAGTTTAGTTCAGCAAGAGACGTCACACTGTCGCAGGTTCAGAAAAAGTCCACTTCGTTTACACATCAGTTCTTAAACATTTTAATCAACATAAAGTACCTACATGAATTACTTTTAAATTTGCTTCAGTTTAAACACACGTTTTAGACCATCCATAACATTAAGTTATCTTTGGTTTTCAGAACAATTAATTTATATTGCTCGTACTTGCCATTTAATGGAAAAATGAAACGAAGTCCACTGTCGATAGTAGCTTACGTGTTGCAAGGAATAACACAGAATCCTATTACTGATGCTTCTGAAGACATGAATTAGATGGCATGTTATGAACCAAATTTGATTTTGTTTACTAAAAATATAAACAAATATGTGTGTGTATCTGGGGGAGGGGAGGGGGGGTCCACTCACTCAGCATCTGGCACAAGGTTACGAAACCTGACAAAAATATGATACGGTAAGCTACTAGAATGTTACAGGGCAACTTTTGCTACAATATGTGTTCCTTTCTGTTTATAACAGTGTGTGTCGAGCTGCTATCATACAACAGTATGTAATGGAGCACAAGTAGAAACTGCAAGCCACACTTCACACGGGAATAGGCAAGTCCTTGGCGACCATCACGAGAATATGATCTGTGTTCAAGCGCCAGTTTCGAATGTCCTTTGACACCTTGCACCAGTGTTCACCATGATGGGGCTCAGCTGCAATGCACCTTTTCTTTATTTCCTCCTGTTGCTCCTCAGAGCCATTGAGCAGCTCAAACTTGTAGAAATATGCCCATGCGTCTCCCAGGTCCGGCTCAATTTTCACTGTTCTGTTAAACCACTCTCTGCACTTCTGTATTTTTCTCTCACACCAGAATAATTTTGAGACGGCCAGAAGGACATGCGGGTCATGCTCACACTTCTTCAGAGCATCCACACTCTTTGTCTTACGCTGTGGTCGTAACTCAAGGAATATTGCTTCTGCCCACAGGATACCTGCATTTGGGCACTCCTGAAGAGCTTTTGCCGTAAGTGTGTTGGCTATGTCCCTCAGCCCAGCACGGAACTCAACTCGAATAGCCTCCAGCCACAGCTGTGAACATTTTGGGTTTCGCAGCCTCCCTTTCTCAAGGACTGATCGTGCCTTGGTCAACATACCCCTCCGCTCCTCCAGAGATGCCAGCATCTTCCAGAGAGGTACCGAGTTGGGACATTTCTTGATGCCAGCATTGTACGTTTCCCAGGCCTTGTCAACCTTCTCCTGCTGCTCCTCTATCTGCCCCTTCATAAGCCACAGCTTCGCAAATTCAGGGAAGACCTTGATTGCTTCCTCCAGCAGTCTGAGAGACTGATCCAAATTGTCTAGAGCCCACTCCAATTTTGCAGATTTCATCATAACCCTCGGTGTCGGGGCAGAAGCGCGGGCCTTAGCGAGCAGTCGACGTGCACGTTCATACTCTGAATTCTCAGACTCCAACTTGACAGCAGCAAGCCAGATTTCTTCCGAATTAGGATTGGCTTGGAAAGCGAGTGAGAGAATGCCACGAGCAGCAGGTACATCTCCTGCCATCCACTTAGACTTGGCCCCCATGAGCCATAGCACCTCAGACTTTGGACAGTGGGCTACTGCACGTTGCAGAAGGGCCTCCAGCGACTCCCGCGTGCCATGATTCTTCTCAAAGTAGGCTGCCCTCAGCCAGATAGATTTCTTGCTTGGGAATGTGGCCAGTGCATGAGCATACACAGCCCGTGCACATTCATATGCTCCTTGTGATGCACAGGCCTCAGCATCTTCCATCCATGTGTGCTTCCTGTCTTCTTCCTCTACACCCTGGCCTATGATGGCTCGGACCAACACCTGGCAGCAGTGCACAGAGCCAGACTTTTCTGCCTCAATCGCTTCCTTGAACCAATGCTCGCGGTTGATCTCCACGCCATTAGAAGTCAGAGATGTTATAGCCCTCTCAATAATCTTGTCCACCATGTGATTGTTACCATTTGCCTCCTCCAGTTTTGCAGCCGTAGTCCAAATCTGGCGATCTGTTGGGATGTTTTCACGGGCTTTATTCAGAACCTTACGAGCATTCTCATATGTCTCAAGCCGGGCCAAGGCCAGCCATAGGTCCACGCTGGTTGGGCAGCATTCCACTGCTCTGCTGAGAAGAATTCTGGCATCTTCCGGATCTTCCAGCTCTACAGCTGCCTTCCACAGTCTCACAGAGTTGGGTATGTGCTCTAGTGCTTTGCGATAAACCCGGCGCTTTGCCTTTGTTTCTTGCTCCAGATCTGCAGCCTTGATCCAGATGCGGACAGATGTCGGGATGTGTCGTACAGCTTGGGCGATCACTGCACGTGCTGTATCTGGCGGCTGCAGTCTAGCGGCCTCCAGCCAAAGGTCTTCCGACTTAGGATTCACCTCACAACCCTTCATGATCAGATTCCTGGCAGCCTGTACCTTGCCAGTGACCTCTTCTAGCCTGGCAGAAGCAATCCAAGCAGGTGGATGATTTGGGTTTGTTTCACGTACAGACTTAAGAAGTAAACGGGCCTTCTTTATATCATTAATGTCTCCACCATATGTAGGAATCATACTCTGAAGATCTGTCAAGTAACCTTTTGGATCTACAACTGTCTGACCTTCAACAGAATCAGATACTTGACTCAGCTTAACATTCATCAACGTGTTTCGTGCTTGTCCAATCTTACACAGGTCCAGGTCTCCAGTGGGTGTAAGCATACCTGTTGCTGTCCCTGATGGGAAGGCACTAGCAAGCCCACTAGCAGGGTCAATTGTGGTAGCAGTCTCTCCACCTAGATTGCGAGCCAGGACAGAGTCTGGCAGGGGAGTGAACTTCTCAGAACGCGGATTTCGCACTTTACGATTCCTTGCATCACCTACCTCAGGAACGTTGCGCCATTCATCTTCCGACACAGTCACTAAACCTCGTTTCAAGTCACTAAATTGTTGTTGGATTTTAGGGCGTTCCTGTCGATACCTTTCCAATTCCTCTTTCAGCCTCTTTTCTCGATATTCTTTTCTTTTCTCATCCATTCGTTTATCGATGGCTTCGTAGATGGCATCTGCTTCTTCATCGTCTTTGTCGTATGGGTCTTTGCTAAACAAAGATCCCCCATAACCTGAAAATTCATCATAGTTGGAATCGTTGAGATCTTCATCATCATCTTCCTCCTCCTCCTTCTGATGACCTTTCTTACGTTTGCTTGGTGGGGCATGTCTGTCATCGGATACGTCATTGGCATCTCTCGCAGGACCAATATCAGATCGAGTTGTGAAGCCAGTTGCACCTCGTCCGACACCAGCAACATAACCTAATGGAGCTGGTACTCCCATAAAATGTTTCTTATTCCTATTTACCAACGCCGCTGGAGGAACAGCCATATTTTATAAACACTTTAAGATAGATTACCCACACAATAAGTACTGAAAAACAAACTGAAAGTTACGTTTGTTTACAGTAATCACCTTAATTCCTTCCCTGCTTCAGCGTACCACTTACATCCACAGATTATACATTAGTCAGAATCATCTGTGACTTAGTCTATGAATTTTCTATCACTCGCCGTAGCAGCGCTGGTGTGGAGTCTCATTATAGCGGTACGGCGCTCGACTTTCGAACGAACAATAAACGAATACAAAATGCATAAACAATTGCTGTAAGAGATCTAAATAATGCTGATATCTTAAGAAGCAAATATTAAAATCATTCTAATAAGCAGAAACTTTGATTACAATATATAATTTTATACATTAAATAGGTAATTTTTAAAAGTCTTGAAAACAGTCAGGGGCACAAACATGAGTCACTTCGCTTTTTTTTAAAAAAAAAGACAGGCAAACTACATCCGCATCAGTAGAGATGTGTCATGAAAAGTACAACATGCGAAATACATCTACAGTAAATCACACTATCACAAATAAATAGGTAATGAACCGAAAAACACGGTCTAGAACTGCAGTTCCCAAACTGTGTTCCGTGGACCCCTTTGGATTCACCGAGAACACTTTCTCAACGACTGCTTGCGTAGCGATGAGTCTATGGGGCATGAAATTCAAAGGTTCATTACCGAACCCGTCAGATGTATCCAGCCCACACCCTTCCACCCTACTTATTTAATTAGCTATAGATTTCAGGCGATCTTATATACGTAATTCTACTTAACATAGGACGTTGTTGCACGGAAGCCATGTTCTTGACTTCCTGAGTTCGAGGCTACATAATTGCTTGCCAATTTACGCACGTCTGGGAATGAAAAGCAAAACACAGAAACGTCTGCAGTGAACTTCATCTCGACGAGCATCAGTGGCGTGTACCAACAACCGTAGGTAATGGCTAGCATGGAAAGTGAGTCTCATACCCAAATGTACACACGGATTTTTGTAGCTAACAGAGATGATTCAGACCAAGAAACACAAATATTAAATAATCAAAATGCATAAGGAGTAGTTTCTATGTTGTTAATGTGATTAACCCTTTAAATATCAGTGGTAAGAACCTACATGGCTCAACAATCAACAACTATTCATTTTATATTACGTGTTTCATGCGATTCTCAGTGTAAATAGCAATTATAACCTTAAACAGCGTTAACCAGTCGATCTTTGTAATGGTGAGGTCTGGTGTTTTCTTCGCGGTACGGACTGAATTCTTAAATGTTGTTTATACGAGCTTCGGATTCAAAGAGATGGAATAAACCATGATGCATACATAAAAGAAATGAAAAATGAAAGTCAATGTTTTGATCGAAATACATCATAGAAATGGACCACTTGGAAGACATTGGTGTAGATGGAAGGACATTAAAATATATAGGCATTAAATGTGTAGATTTGAAATGGGTGCATCTAGTTCCAATGAAGGACTTCTGTGAACATGGTGTTGGACTTTAGGGTTCCAAACAAGCAGGAAAGTGCAATGTCTGTACTGTTTACTATCTTTGTCAAAAATACGTCTTTATCTTAACTGAATGAAAAATGACACCAAACGCATTTCGAACTGTATTCTTAACCGACACTAACAAACTAAACCAAAGAGAGTGGATAAAAGTGCATACTGAGTAACTGCACAATTTGTACTCCGTCACCAAACATTGATAGGACGGAGGATAATATTACAGAATTGGGTGGAATGGATTCTTCTGGTTTGCAAGAGGCACCAATGGCTGACTCTTGTCAAGACTTCAGGTTCCATAATACGCGAGTTCTGACCTGTCTTCACTCGATATTCGCGTTGCAGCTTTGTACGATTTTGTTGTGTCCTTGAAGAATGCAATTTGGCGATGGCTGCTGCAGCCATTTTCAATTTTGCTTCGAGTGGCCTGAAGGCTCTTAGCAGAGACGGCTAAACGCTGATGGGTGTTTACATCAGCTTCATCTTGAGAAGATGACAAGTAAAAACTCTAACAAACACTCCTCCTAACAGCACGCCACGAACATGTCTGGGATCCCCACAACGCCTATCCCAAGGCCGAACTGCCGTGCTCATTGCCATCTAAGTCCACATAGACGCAACCTGTCGCTCCACGGAGGTAAAAAGGTCATTAAATCTAGTCCGAGGCTGTGATTTGTTGATGTGTCTTTTTTATATAAGCAGATGCTTGCAACAAAGTTTCTAAAATAAACCAAGAGCTTAGATTGTTTGAACACATTGTAGCGCAACAATGACCTCGGATCCCGTTACAGCACGAACAATCTACGTCTTGCCGCAATGTAAGCCCTTGAAATGTCAAGTATAATTATCATGTCTACACATATTTATCCATTACATACAACATTAACACCTTTATGTGATCTTGCAATCCAAGAGAGCGCAATGCATGGTTCATGAAATTAGTTTCAATATATTATCAACGATCTGGGGTCTGTAATAAGGTTTGAATGCCCCATTTGGGGGGAGGGGGGTTGGAGTGTTCAGTGGCCAACTCCAAGAACCCCGTTATCCTCCTCCTCATCAATCCTACGATCACCTCATCAAAACATTTAAGAATTTAGCCCGTACCGCGAAGAAAACACAAAACTTCACCATTACAAAGATCGACTGATTAACGCTGTTTAAAGGAAATAATCGTGGTTTATTCTGAGAATGATACCCTACCCATAAACACACACTGTGACCAAAATGCAGAGTTAACAGATTGTTAAAACAGATGGTAAACATAAATACCACTGGGTTCTAAATGGTTTAAGTTTTCAGCTGTGTTAAAGCAAGTACGCCTTGTGTAATGGTAACTAAAAAGTTGTCAGTGGAACCACGGTTCCGGAGAATCTGACGTAAATACGTCTCTGTAATGAAATGTAATGTTCCCTAGGTAACCATTGTTGTCGATTTGTTGATATGGATCTTACACGTTTTCCTTTCACTCTTTTGCCAAATGACCCTTCCGTATAGACGTATTTACGTCAAAACACATGGACCGGCGTACAACAATCAGCTGGCCAATAGCATCCTGAGAACCACTGGCTGATATGACAACGTTTATCCACCAGACAGAACACAAGCGTATTGTTTACGTGAATCTTGTTGACACAGACATTCCAATGATTGCGCTTTCAGGGACGCAAGAAACGTGTTTTTATTTAATTACATACTTATTATGTGTTTTTTTTTTACACAGTCAGCACACACATTCGCAGTCCGCGTTAACTTCTGTACGGGCTTCGATTATTAATATATTTGCTTCCTATCTGTCCAGTGCAGACCCTAGATTTAATAAAGCCCAAATTTCACTTTATCAATGTTGGTCTAAAACTTCACAGCGATTGTAGGTCACACAAAGATCAAAGAGTAATGAGTTTAATTCAAAAACTTTCTTGCTTATCAACACAGATGAAATTTGGGGTTCTGACGGGGGCGAATATGACAATTTTGTCCTGGATTATGACATCGTTTAGACTCGTAGGTGCAATGAGAATAAGCAATTTAACAACCCTTTCTAGACATAAAATTCGATGCAAGTTCATCGACTTCAGTAAGAATGTTGGCAGACCTGACGAACCATTTAGTGTTAATTAATTTCTATACCAAGTGTAGCTAGCATTCAAAATCGTCAAAGAGCACATTAGACCAGTGGTATTCAACCTTTTTTGTTCGCGTACCCCCAGATATAATTTCTCTTCAACTTTGTACCCCCAAAGTTGTTGGTGTATAATTCAAGTTATACATAGTATATAATCTACAGCTGAAATAAATTAAATAAATTACATTACTGATTATTCAGTGTTTATCATAAAATAATATTTTTTTAAATTTCACGTACCCCTTAAGATGTCTTCGCGTACCCCAGGTTGAATACCACTGATCTAGAACGTACGAGAGCAGTCGAAACATACTAAAGGACAGACTATCAAAATGTAAACGCGATGAACAATTAAAAGGTATTTTTGCATTTACCTTTCTGTTTAAAACTCTTCACATTTACTACTATTTGTGGAATCATAACTGGGACACAAATTTGTAATTCAAAAAATCAATTCGACTAACTGTAATTCAACGGAATAATTTTATGTTCAGTTCCACATGGTCTTCAACAAGCGAGGTTCTACAAACAAAATTTTTAGGAATGAAAACACAGTGCTTTTTTCATTTCCGAAAATCACACCACCGCCTTCTTTTATTAGCCTTGAAAATGTCTGCCATTCATCATTGACCTCACAACTACATTCAACATTTGCAGAACTCTAAAACTGACAGTCAGCAAAATCACCCTGCAACCAGACACAACATTCTGTTGCGAAATAACAAACGTCTGTCTGCAAATACTCTGATCAGAATGTTGTATTTATTTATGGTTTGTTTAACGACGCTGTTAACAGCTCAGACTGTACAGGATCGAATAATACTTGACATGAAGGTAGCGGGCGTCACCTAATTGCCCCTGCCTTTGCCTGGAGGGATTGTAAAAGACAAGCCAAAATACATTAGTCCTGGTCTCCGAGCCGAGATTTTAACCCAGGGTCCCCGTAACACGAAGTAGGGATGCTAACCACTCTGCCACAACGATCGGTGAACAGTCAAAATGATGGAAAGAACACCTGCGACAATCGAAAAGTATTTGTTCTCCGTTTGTGGCACAAGTGATACCAGGTGCGATCGGAAAGTTTCAAGACTGTGTCAATAGAGGGCGAACCGGATGTAGTACGAGCTTCTGCCGATAGGGGGTGCGGCCTACATTCATAGTGAATCAGTGTGCCAGCCGGCATCATCGAATTAGCATTTGTTTCTTAGTTACGGGCGTTTTGGTAGTGCATTACACCGACCCTCCTGCGATTTCGGAATGGCGTGTGCATCAAATGTTGCCAAAGGAAAATGTTACGAATATCGACGTCGTACCATCAACGACTTGTGCGACCTTGTTGGGATAGGCTATGGGACCTGTCAGCTGATTCTAAAGGAAGAACTCCACATGCGACGCATCATGACAACGCACCAGCGCACACCGCCTTCAAAGTTCGGCAGTTTTTGGCCTCAAACACTATGGCCGTCATCCCGCACCCTCCTTATTCGCCGGATTTAGCTCCGTGTGACTTCTTCCTCTTCCCAAAGATGACAATTCAGCTAAAGGGAAGGAGATTTGAGGCGATAGAAGAGATTCAGGCAGAATCGCAGATGGTGCTTGACAGGCTGACCAAGAAAGATTTCCAGGGATGCTTCCAGGCTTGGCAGCGGCGCTGGGATCGTTGTGTTCACTCCCAGGGGAACTACTTCGAGGGTGATGGATGAATTTAATACCTGAGATAAGTGTACGGGTTTTTATACGCGCAGTCTTGAAACCTTTCGATCGCACCTCGTATGCTTACCACGTCCGTGTTCTCAACCTTTTTCGCAGGCGTACCACTAATTCTAATTTGACACATGAAATGTACCACTAACCAAATTCGTTCAGTAAAAAAACTTATTTATGTGAATATTATCTTTTAATTTTACTTTACTTTTTAGTTCTCGTACCACCAGTGGTACGCGTCCCATAGGTTGAGAGACGCTGTTCTAGATCATAAGTCAGTGAAAGTAGCTCTATTTTTAACAGCCTTCTACGCATAAAATCTATAGAAGGCCAATATTTTTTATATTGCCTAAGGGCTGGATTTTTTTATAAACATTATAGTTGATTTAATACTGATTACTTCTTCACTGATTAGACGTCGAAGAATCAGAGTAGAAGAAATTTGACAGGGCGTAGAACTACGTTCTCGCCTAACTATCCAACTATAAATTCTGTTGGGACCAAACCCGGGGGCGTGATACGACGTCCAGTCAATGGGGCCAAGGTCACGTTAAGTGCAAAGTGCCAGTACATGCCCCGTTCTTGCGCGTACTGTACCACATGTCATAATATTGGCGGGGAGGTGCGGAGTCCGAACTAGCTTCACATTATAAATAAATAATTTGGGACTGTGCACTGCATTTCGTGTTTCCGACGTGACACTGGAAGAACCAGGGCGTACCAGGAGGACAGATCCGAGACAGGTGAGTTTTCAAACTGAAGATTAAACACGGTTGAGGGAATTTTTCCAGTGGCAGGCAACAACAATGGCCCAATGCAATGGAGAGGTCAGACAGCCTCAGACGACATTGTTGTTCGTACGTCTTTATGGAAATGGGATTCTAACGGGGCCAATTCATTGAAACTTTATAATAGTTTCACAACAATCGCACCATTAAAATAGGTTCACATATTACCCTATAAAACATATTACTCGACAAATGTGTTGATTTGTTAAATATAAACTTAAAATACAATCTTTAATTAAGACAACTGTTTATCGATTATACAGAGTGACGTATTAGAAACGTGCGAGGAGAGCATAAAGACATTGTCCAGACCGCGGTTTGATAGTGCAACAGGCCTCATATCCCCCCCAGAAATTACTATTGTTGGATTGTTCAAGTTTCCTGACAATCTGCTCTGGCAACACGGTTCAAGATGGCGGTAGGAATATTTGCATGAAATTCACTGCTGTGAATCAGAAGTCGTGTGACAACCTGCAGTTCTGACACGAAAATAGCACAGTCTTGCAAGCTGTTACCCCCACTCCTTACTCTTCCACGTGGTATCGTTCCAAGGGGCTCGTGTGAACATTCCAATCAAGCTGGCTTCTTCCTGCACAATCCTTATCATTTAAGTTGGCATCTGAAACTTGACGCCCGTTGAAATTCAACGAGGAGGGAACTACTTTACTTTCATCTGTTTAAAATTCTCATACCCAGAACTCAAAACAAACACGGACACTCTCAAATCACTACGCGTAATCACCCTACCATTTGAGGTTATGTAACTCGTGCAATTTAAAAATAAGTGTAACACGCAGAACATGAGAGAGATGAAAAATCCATACAACATTTTTGTCGGAGAACCTAAAAACAAGAGGTCGCTTGGGCGCTACCAGTAAAGGAGAAAGGATAATATTAAAATTGGCCATAGGTAAGTAGGGTATGCGTGTGTCTAGATTGGCTTAGGATAGGGACCAGTGGCGATCTTTTGCGAACAAGGAAATTAACTTTCGGGCTAGATAAACACTATAGCAGCGTTTCTCAACGTATGGTACGCGTACCACTGGTGGTACGCGAATTAACTAAGAAAATCAAAAGATAATATCAACATAAATAAGTTTTTCCCTGAACGCACTTGATTAGTGGTACATTTAATGTGTTACATTAGAATTAGTGGTACGCCTGCGAAAAAAAAGGTTGATAACCCCATGCACTAGAGGATTTATTAAAAATCCGAGGAAAGATACGTTTTAAAATACACCACACCTTGTACCAGCAACTTTCCATGTAAGGTTCGGAGTAAAATGTGTTAATCGCTTGTGCCCGCTAGCTTGCCGCGTAAGACAACCGCGAGTCAAGGCCGGCCGGCCGGCCGTCTTCAATTGCGCGAGCCAATCACGATGACTGGCTGACATTCTGGGGGGGAAATCTCTGTGGAAATGTTCCTCCAGCCTTTGTTCATACCTGATCCCACATCGACAGACTTACAAGCGAACTCAGGCCTCCGCGGTGAGAAGCAGGCGACAAACCGCATGAACTACAACACGGGCCAAAAGATTGCATGCTGTTACGCCGAAGGATGCTACTCTATAACAAAATACGAAATGGAAGTTGAGAATACTCAGAACACAATTCAAAGCAAAGCAGAGCGCCAAAAACATGTATCAGTCACAGTTAAATAAGTCTACACGCCACTGATCTATCAACCTTTTCGTATCTGCACGCCACTGACACAGTTAACTGCACGTATTATTATTATTTCACAGATATACCAATCTTCAAGTCACTGATACACAGCAACAATGCTGAGTGTGACGATATTATTGTTGCTTCTGACGGGAGGAGTGAGGTTGGAGAGGAGCGTTGACCCAATAGTGACCACATATCAGGGCAACATGCGAGGTACAACAATGACGTCACGTAGTGGCAGGACGTTTCACGCGTTCTTGGGAATCCCCTACGCAGCACCACCCGTCGGGGAGCTTCGGTTTAAGGTGAGTGTCCAAGAATGGTCTTCCCATTTAATTGGGGGTGTGTCACGAACAAGATTATATACCAACTGCTGTACACAAAAAATACTCTAAAATAAAATATCTTAGTATTTTATGACAATAGTACAGAGGAACAATAAGTTCTTGGAAGAATTTGTAGCATTAAATTTCCTTACAGATCAATGCTAGTTGTAGTGGACACAACCATTGTTTGTAATCAATCCAAATTATAAATTGGCATGATGAATATCATTTGCAAGAATGCTATTAGATGGCATGAGTACATTCGCAGGTCACGTGTGTGTGTATACAAATATATATGAATCATATGTCTATTAACTTAATAGCTGCGTTGGATGTGGTTAAAATCTACAAATATAATCATAATTATAATCAGCAATTTTATTAAATTAAAAGAAGGTTGTCTGGGGTTTCATTTATAGAATCTGTATACTATTATACGTTTAACCTTTCCATACGTCACATATTTAAATTATAGATTATAACTAATAGGACTAACAAAGTACAGACACATGGCGGCAACCACAATTTTATATTACTATTCAAACTACATCTTTATAAATTCATATTCGTTAAAGTTAAAACGGTTAACGAACCAATCAGAAAAGAGCATTGAGCACGCCTTTTAATCTGTCTGTCTGCACGCAGGCGCCGGAGCCACCACAGCCCTGGGGCAACATACTGAATGCTACACAAGACGGCCCGATGTGCATGCAGAAGAATTACCTCGAGCCGAACCCAAGGGTGCAGGGTCAGGAGGACTGCCTTTACCTAAATGTATACACCCCTGACGTAAGTAACAGATCCTGTTACTGGGCAGAACACCTGCCGCATTTTGCACAGCCCTGACATGAGTGTCGTTACAGCTGCTGCCCAAGGTACCCCTTGAAGTGATCGTCAACATTCATGGCGGGGGATTCTTCTCTGGAACTGGGGCCAGCTATGCGTGGGGCCCACAGTACCTCCTGGACAAGGACGTTGTGCTGGTGACATTCAACTACCGCTTAGGGGCGCTGGGTGAGTCACAAACCAGTCACTTCAATAGTCACCACCTTTCCATTGCCTACAGGTCATTCATTGAAGTTTCTAAATAATAATTTTGAAATCTGCTTTCATTTTCCATGTACGCGCTGCTGTCCCACCCGTCTCATCATCTACTGAGTAAACCATAAATACATAAACAAATAAATAAATAAACAGAGGCAGAGAGTTTCTCATATTACAATAAATAACATGATTTCAAAAATGTTTAAATAGTGTTATAATTCATTACAAGACTTTTTTATGTAATAACATTCTGTTTGATATTTATGTAAAGCGTGTATTACAGTGGACCAACATGAATCACATTCTACGACTTTTAGCGTAGACCCTCTCCTCTCAATTCCAAATTTAATCAACATTCATTTAGTATTTCTGAAGATGAAACATGTGGATGTACTGACTTCGACAAGTACAAAGTTTAATTGCTAACCTCCAAATTTCATGACGTTCCCGCAGGATTTCTGAGCACAGCGGACAATATCGCTCCTGGTAACTTTGGACTGAAGGATCAGGTGGCAGCCCTGCACTGGGTCCAGAACAACATCGCGGCATTCGGCGGAAACCCCAACTGCGTGACTATTTTTGGACAGAGCGCAGGTGGTACAAGCGTGCACTTGCATATACTGTCACCGCTCAGCGCAGGTACACAACCGATTCACAAGTACAGAACACTACTAATCTTATCGTTAACGTACCAGCACAGCAGCACTGTTAACCTACTGAAACACCGATCCAGAGCGTCACTGATCTCATTACTATTATGCTGTTGTAAGCACTGTAAACTTATGAGAAGGTTCGCTGGTGTTGACAGGCCTGTTTCATCGTGCGATCTCTCAGAGTGGAACGGCACTGAATGCCTATGCGTGGCCCACGGACTCCCTGTTTCTTGCGCGACGGCAGGCGGCATATGTGGGTTGCAACCCCGATGATAACACAGCCGACATGGTGGCCTGCTTGAGGCGGGTTGACGGCAAGACTCTCGTCGACTCGGGCGACAACTTTAAGGTCAGTGGTGCCAACTTCTTGAAGTTCATCTTATGAGGGAGAAGAAACTGATGTCAAAACCGGGCACAGAGGCAGAGACTGTTTTCCGGCTCTCTGGTCCATATTCGGTCCATGGCCTCCTCAATTCTCTCTTCCATTCTGTCCGAAGCTTTGCTTGAGGTTTCGAAACATCTTCCCTTTTTACGGTGCAAGGTTGTTAGCTATGCTACCAACCCCCAACTTGGCATTGACAAAGACGTCTTAACCACTGATCTCTCCTCTTGTCCATCATGTCAAACACTTATGTAAAGGAACATCTCTTCCTAAAAGAAGAAGTAACCGGGCCACAAGTACGTAATTCCACTGATCTGAGCACTGTTAACTTACTGGGTATCTGGTACGTAAGTAAAGCTTGATAACACCTTAGTGCAGAGGTCCTTTTTGAGAAGCTAACAGTTGTTCATCTACTTGACAAATTCCCCTCCTTATGGAACATGAAAGATGCTGACAAGAGACGAACCAATGGTCCCTACTGTGAGTCAGACGAATCTAGTCCACAGTATCTTGAAAAATTTTCTCTCAGATTCATTTTAATATTATTCTTATCGTACATTACAGTTGTGGTCAATAGACCCTTTGGATGTGTTCGTACCAGCAGTTGAGCATGGCCCAGATGCATTCTTGCCAGCAAACCCTTTTGACATTATCGAGAGTGGGCAGTTCACCCGTGTGCCCTGGATGGCAGGCGTGGTGACTGAAGAGGGACTCATCCGTGGTGCATGTGAGTCGAGAGCATGCGCATGCATTATATATATCTCAGTTGAAACACACAAGATTAACAGCAATGTGGAACGCTGATTAGATACCTCATGTCACAAAGTATGGAAATTCTGTAACTTAGCTCCACAGTCTTTTAATTCTTTTGTTTCTAGCGATCCTTACCAACCGTACGCTGTTAGAGGACCTGAATCAACACCTCCCCGTGTTAGGACCACGCCTCTTTGAGATCAACAAGAGTGCTGTTGGTAGAGATGAGATAGTGGCGTACATCTGGGACCGGATGGTGAGGTTCTACTTGGGTAACCAGAGTACCATCACCGACAGTAGCGAGCGCGGCTTTCTTAACGTAAGTATTGTGCGCATGGTCTACAGATGTGTATAAGTATGCTTGAATTTATTTTGTATGATATATTATAATATGAAGAACTGTAACTACGGAGACAATACAGACACATTTCCTGGTTACAAAGACATAATCTGTGTTTCAGATGCTTAGTGATCGGGCATTCATCCACGGGGTTCACAAGAGCGCTCAGCTGCACCACAGGGCGGGCCACCGTGATCTGTTTCTCTATCACTTCAACTACAGGGGACTCTACAGCTTTACGTCTGTGTTCGCCAACACGACCAAAGACTTCGGTCAGTTTCAACAAGTTCCTAGCAACATCCAGCAAAACTTAAAATCATGAAGTCAGACAAATTTCTGCTTTCTGCATGATCATCACTGGTTTAATATTATCAGAAATCTAAAAATTTTTACATATAACTCAAAATATTGGCACTGTTTGCCATGTTTGAAGTTTTAATGCTTGTAATACATAATTATTTAATATTAAGCACGGGCGTGCATAACACCAGAGACGACACGACCAGCTACAGTAGTTCATCAGGTATTGACTCTAAACGAACACCTTATTGATCATATTTATGCGGGACGTAAAGAATTACAAAGATGAGATGCTCAAAACAGAACACATTATCGAGACTCGTGCAAATCGGTAACTGAAACGCGGAAAGTGGCCCGATGTTAATGGAAACCAAAAAATTGATTCCTTTTGTGCCCTCTCCAGTTCCAGCCTCTGAATGTACCAAATATTTATGTGATATTAGCCATTTTTGTTTAAAATGCTCTATACTGTTGCCATGCCGCTGGCATTTGTCTTGCAGGAGTGTCCCATTGTGATGATCTTATCTACATGTTCCGCCAGCCCCTACTGTTCCCAGATTGGCCCCCCGGACATCCCGACCTGCAGATATCAGAAATGATCATTCAACTGTTGACAGATTTTGCAAAATATGGGTAAGTATCTCACACCTAAACATATCGAGGACAGCCGATAGGCTGGAAGTGTAAATGAGTGAATTAACGACAAGAACGTGTGTAAGTTAGGTTCAGCGAATGAATATGTGAGTAAAGCTAACGTATGGTTCGCTATTATGAGTGAGTGAATAAGTACAATTATTAAAACAGCAAAGATGATTTTTTGAAAGAAAGATGTAACAGTGAAAGTTCATATTAGAAACAACCGACTACTCATCCGACCAATATCTTCCATTGTACTTAGCGTAATCCTAATATTCGACACTTGCCGCATGTACTACCGATATTTGATACAAGATGCTAAGCGTTAAGTAAACCATTTGTGTCTGCTATCATTTAAATTGGTTGTTATGACTGAAGAATTCCCCCTTGTGCTGGAATATCACCTTGAGTTCAAACAGCCTGGTAATGAATGGCCTCCGACACTTGCACGTATCCTGCGATGACAAGAGGCCGAACGAATAATTGAATTGATCAGTCGATAGGCGAGTGACTGCGTAAGTTAAGAGAGTTGAAATGAGTTACAGTGTGTTACTGGATAGTTCAAATGAATCATTAAAGGAATCGCGGTACTTTCACTACACGGCGGTTACATGTAATGGATTCTCTTCTCTCAAAGCCCTACAAAGAAACATCAGAATAAATTATAATGGTGTTTAGTTGAGCTAGTACAATAAGTGACAAGTATCTTTATTTATAGGTTTTCAAGGCTTTTGCGTGTCCTATATTTAGTACCTCGCCTATGTTTCAGTCACCCGACGCCTGATATAAAACAATGGGAAAGTGGTGCCAGCGATGAGAAAGCTGTGAACAACATAATCTGGGATCCGGTACTTTCGGGAAAACATCTGAACTACATGGAGCTTAGTGCAGGTCCTAATGTGACCATGAAGCAGAATTGGTTCAAACAGCGCATGGACTTCTGGGACACCTTGCCTCTCGTGGAGAACGAGTCCCAATTAGTTGACTCCGACAACTTGCTCGACCTCATCTACAATTATTTTGTCTACTTGGTGAGACTGTAAGAGGAGATTGTTTATGAAGACTGCTTGTTAATTACGCTGTTTTGTGATGAGCTGCTGTGATAATGCAGTGTTAAATGTTATGTAGTATGACGTTGAATTAATGAATCAAGTCAGATGTGACAAGAAGAGGTTTTGGTCTATTTGAAAGTACAACATTGAATTTTCCTCAGGATGGCTAGTTAGAAGTGTCATTTAGAGGTGTTGCCACCTATATAAAGAAGAAAAGACTGCAAATAAATTACTTTCATTATTTCATTTAATTTTTTGTTTTAATACTATTTACCTGGACAGAATTAACCAACTGATTTTCGCAATAGAAATGCACTGTTTTTACTTTGAGACAGAATGAATTTTTAAATGTTATTTACATGAACTTTGTGCTTCAAAGGGTTCCAGTATATTCAAAAGGCTTAACATGGGTCTGCTTATTAGGTTCCACCCTAACCATTCCATCCTTCAGCAAGTATATTCAAAAGGCTTGACATGGGTCTGCTTATTAGTTTCCACCCTAACCATTCCATCCTTCAGCATACATTTTGCATTATGGTTCCTCTCAATCTAACAAGTAGTTCAGTAAGTTAACCTTTTATGGAACCAAAGAAGTTTACTACTGTGTTTACAAGAGCCTGCCAACAACAAACCCTATTCTAAAACAGATAAATCCAATCTGCACCCTCCAACCCACATTCCTGCATAGATGCATTTTCATTTATCCACCAATCTATGTCTAGGTCTTCCAAGTGGTCTCTTCCCTTCAGGCATTTTTAATCCTCCACATTTGCTACATGTCCTTCCCATCTCATCTTCCTTAAATTGATCATCCCGATTATATCTGCCAAGAAGTACAAATTATGAAGCTACTCTTTATGCAATTTTCTCCAGCTTCCTGTCACTTAAAACCTTATCCCAAAAATCATCCTCCAAACCCTGTTTTCTAATACTTGTATCAGAGTGGTCCTAGTTTTTTCTTCGCTTGGGCCAGAATAGTTTTACTGTTGGACCCAAGGGCCAAGAAACCCCTACTCTCACTATTTTTGCATTGTCATTATATTCAATAATACTTAATCAGAAATGACAAATTATCATTGCATATGCTGAAATATAAATATTATTTAAATGTGCACAAACTACTATAGAGTTGTATATTATTTTGCTCCTGCAACACCTTGTATCTATCACAATTTTTACCTGGAAATCTTACACAAATTATTTGAACTCCGCAAATTTAACAGCTTGTAGCTGATACAATAACAATTTGTACCAGTAAAACGTACATCTTATGCTTTTGAAGCCAGTGGCTTTAGTGAGAGCACTGAACAGAATTTTTTTTATCAGTGACAGAATATCAACTTCGAAAAAAATGGATTTGAACTTACTAGTAACAAATTAACAAATAATTTCACCAGCCCGCCAGTTGTTTCACGCTGACTTATATCTATGTTCTTAAGCTAGCAACAACACATGAGCTTAATCAACAACTGCAATGAACACTTTCCGGTACCATCGATTAATCGATTTGAAGCGTATTTGATTATTGGGTGTGGCAACACATGGAGAGTCGAATTAATAACTCTAACTTCAAAGATATAATCATTGATAAATCGAAAATACTTTTATTTCAGTTTGTAATTTTTCCGGTGTTTTCTGCTGTTAATTTACTTGTCGAAAACAGGGATTTTTAAACGGTAGAGTATATGCAGCATGTCCCGTAATTAAACATAGGCATAACGAGTCGTTAGATGACAAGTTCATTGTATTTTACCTGAAGTGAAAGCCTGACTAATTTGTCTTAGATAAGCACTACGCTCATAAACAGATGTATACATTTAGTTATTATAACCTATACCATAGTGTTTGATAACTTGCATTTTTAGGTTAGGGTTGCTGTCCTGTGGTAAAATAAAGAATTAAACGAGAGAAAATAAAAATATGTATATTCTGTGGAATTGGCCCACTTAATTTACAGCAGCTTTATTTTTAATGTTTGGCTTTATATCATTGACCCTATTATTCCCTGTGAACAAACACTTATGACAAGAGAAGAAACACTAAAGCCTGTTAAATCCCTTAAGCCCACTGCTTGAAAATAAATGCCACAAAGAATGACAATATGTGCCAATTTTTCAGGCTATGTCTGAAGGAAATGTGAACTTCAGCTCTGTGTACCATTCTCTGGATGCTATACTGAACTTCTTGAAGAAAGGGGAGGTAACTTACAAAATAAGAATTTCTTTGAATGGCCATAATTTATGCAGCTTTTCAGAACAATTCTTGTGTTCAATGGCTGTCTAGCTATCCAGCTTATAAAATCCCTGCCCAATGAAACTGTTTGTTGTTGCAGTTTGATCATCTCCCTCAAGTTGAGCAGCTGTTGGCAATTTTTAGTGCCAACTACAGTCACAGTATTGTGAAGAGTAAAGCTGAACGTCTCCATCCATTCATCGTCCTGGAAGGCCTAGATGGATCAGGTAACACTCATAGTGTAGAAGAATGATTTACACAACCAGCCAGTAAAATATCTTGGTATGTTTTAGATGGACTTCACTGTCAGATGGCTCTGGCAGTCAAATCAGGAGTGAGTAGAAATTGTGCAGTCAGTGGACTAGTCACTACTCCTAAATGCATGCTCTAAAGACTATGAAACCTCCGGAAGGAGGCCTTATGCTCCACTTAGGAGTTACAGGAACTAAACTAAACTATGTTTTGGATGGCCAGGGTTCAAAATATGGCAGGGGCATTGAGATATTTCTCTTTATTACCACAGCTAGAATAAGTCAGGCTTGTGCACCCTCCAGTCCAAAGAGTACTGGGGTCCCTATACATGGAAACAACAACCTATCTAGTATTGCCACCTAAAATGTATGGACCTCCACACCTATTATTAACCTTCAAAGACCAATTCTTCCATCATCAGGTGAAATTTTAAGGTGTACCTACCAACATGGGTCTGTTAGCTAACTTCAGGCCCGGTGATTGAGATTAGCGCAACGCAACTGAATCAGAAATATCAATCTTTTCACCTAAGGCACGAAACAGATTCAGTCTGTGAAACGTGTTCCGCTAGAAATACGAGATGATGGGCGAAGTTCACAGATCCCGTTATGCTAACTTTATATGATTATTGCCGCAGGTAAAACCACAATGGCGAGAAAGTTAACAAACAAGTTGAGTGGACAGACGATGTTGACGCCGCCTACTTGCCTGCACTTGTTGCGCAGTTATTTTGATGATCAACCCGTTGGTCTCAGACGGGCGTACTACGGTCTTGGGAACTATATTGCTGCGAGGGAAGTCGAAAGACTGGTACAGTCTTGTCCCGTTGTAATGGATCGGTGAGCGGCGTCTGGCTTGTGCCCACATGTTTAATTACGTCCCTGACTGTACAGTTCCCATCTATCCAGAATATGATTTTACTTGAAGTTTAATAAATCAGTCTAACTGAATAATAATTGATGTGAAACGCGTATTTGTGATATGTCAGCAGAAATGTCTGTCACTAGATGATGCTTGCAGTTGTCTACTGTGAGTCCTTGAACGCGTTTAGATAATTCGTCGTTCATTTCCTTACCACGTAAAATAGCGAGATGTCGGTGTACTGCTAAAAATGGCTGGACTGAGAGGTAAGCCAGCAGCAGAGTTCCTGGGTGAGAACATGTTAAAAACAAGCATCGTACCGCGTCACGTAAACTTCAGAGGTGTAGTTTGAAACCATAAAATTTTTAAAAATTTGTTTTTTTCTTGGAGTTTCATATGCAGTGAATTCACTCCAACAATTTATGGATTTCTGTATTTGTCAGTCTGTCATCATTTTCATCTCTTTTGTATTTTTATTTCAAATGTCTTGATTCTTTTCATATTCAACTTTCTGATTCAAAGAATAACGTGGGCAGGGCTCTTCCTCAGAAGGTGAGACGATGGACGAAGCTCACCAGCGTCCTCCATCGAGCGTCAGGGTTGAGAATGAGAAAACATGTACACGCTTTTTTCCATAATTCTTTATGCCACAGGAAGTTAATAATGGTTATGAAATTGTTTGTCATATTCTTTATAAAAATGGAATATTGGGACTAAAATTTTGTATATGTTACCTCTTCCTTAGGATTCGTCCCCGGTGGTTGTAATACTTAAAACTGAAGTCTGTCTGTGTCTTCCTATGCAATCTTACGTCCCCTAGCGACTACTAAACGACGACCGTGTACCCTAGATTCTGGCACTCGACAGCAGCGTGGGCTATAGCCGATGAAGTGAGGGACAAAAGCCTGTGGCTTCCACCCGCGAGTGATCCGATCTACAACTGGCCAGAGGACTTGACAAAGCCCAACATCGTGCTGTTCCTCGGTCTGGACGAGACGGTCCGCACTGCCCGCCACAAGGGTCGCAACACGACGGACACCGACGAGGAGCAACAGCTAGCGAAGGACGGTCTGTTCAGAGAAACGTAAGTTACTGTTTCTCGGGTATTTATCCTAAGGATCAGGAATTTAATTTCTGAGTAACGTGTTACAAGGCGCGTCTCATAAGCGCCGTTTTGATTTCAGCATCATCGAGGCTTACAAGCGCATAGCCGGTGTCCATCTGGTGGAGATTGATGCCAGCAATTACCCAAATAAAGTTATGAAGGAGATCCAGGAAGCAATCCAGCATCTGCTACAGCAGCACCAAGCTACAGATTAATAACGCCAAATATTATTTTTGCCGCAGTTATTTAAATGCCTTTCCGCTGCTGGAAATTTCTCGGAACACATTTTTATGAGTTGATTACTTACAAAAGCACCATTTTTATATATGTGTTGCACAAATGCATTTCGCTAATTGCTTATGTTTGCTCTTTTATCATGATTATGGGTGTCTCTTTTATTTTCTTGTGATTTTAAATTTCATTATGAAATGGAATATGACGGCTGTGATACTGACATGTGATTTCATCGGCGTAGTCCGATGCACGTGGGCATTTGTAAGCTCCTACAATAAATAGAAAATTGGTTGAAAGTTTTATGGCGATGATGTATCACTGAACTAACATATATTTTGTATATTTTCCACCATCTTGTTGGTTAAAGCGCACAATGATTTGAAGCTGGCTGTGCGACTGTCGTCAAACAAAACCATTAAAAATCCTCTTTTGGGTCCACAGGATGAAGCTTTTCTCTGTTGTAACCTGACATTGGTCTCCTTGCGCGCACTCCACTTCTGTTGTCGGTGTTGTACGGATTATATTAGTTTGACATTTATGACTCGTGACATGTGGTAGTTTCTGATTTCTGGATTCTGTCCTCAATTGGCCTAAATTGTCCAACCGAGCCTAAATGTTCCAGAGGGCCTAACTGGCTCAAATGGGCTAAAAGGGCCTAAATTGTCCAAAGGCCCATTTTGTAAACGTACGTTAGGTTAGGTTGGGTTAGGTTAGTTGGTGGATGATAGATTGGGCTGTTTGTTTCCAAGTCCAGAGTGGGCTTCAGTGGCTGAAAGTGCCTAAAATCCCCAATGGGCCGAATGGGACACGGCCTAAATGGCGCAAAGGCCAGTTTTTAAAATGTAGGTTAGGTTTAGTTAAGTCACGTAAGGTAAGTGTAGTTTATATAAGGTTTTTGTTTTATGATGTGTTCGGTTGTTCTGGAGAAATTGTAAGGTGTTCATCGGGTGGTCGTGAGGATATCCTGGACAAGTGCTGGATAATCCAGGTGAATTCCAGGAATATTCCTGGAGAAATGTTTGAAAAGCCCTAGATTAGTTTCGGTGAAGTCCTGGAGACATGCGGAAATTTTTTTGTCATGGAGAAGTCCCTGAAGGTCATTTGTAAGTCCTTAATCGGTGGTGGGTTTGATGCTATGATGGGACGGTTATTTTCGATTCCTTTAAGTTTAATTGGGATAAGTTACATTGGATGACTCTATTTGATACTTTATATTTTCCTGTCGTTCTTTGATCGTAATTTTCTAGTACACACGCAATAATTTCGTTAATCGGTCTGCAATTAGTAGCTACCTGCAGAATCAGTCTTTTCTGAATTACGTCGCATAATAAAAACCTAACCACACGTACAAGGAAATGTATGCTAGATGTTATGTTAGTGAGTTAGTTAGCTAGTAAGATACTTAGTTAAGCATCCATTAACTTCTGAGTTCTGTTACACAAAATTAATTTGAATTGTTACATCTTGTTAAGCCAGCTAGCTATTTAGTAACTTTATATTTTGGTCAGAACAATCCCTGAAAAACGCATTTCATATTTCGCTTGTTTTAAAAGTCTACAAGGTTTACGAAAAATCAAGCAGATAGTTTCAACCCACTAGTGACATCTGTATTAGTAACAATGAAGCAAAGGGAGAGCTTTTAACCTGGTCGGAGCTGTGTAAACAACAGAGTTTGTTGTTCCTTCCTGATGTAGAGCTCGAGTTACTTACTGATGCTCATTTGTTTATGCTGTCATGTCACGTCACTCAGCATTGGTTTGCATTTCAGAACATCCAGCGGGTCTCTACCTGTGATGCACGACCAACCCTGGCAAGCGTACAGACATGCAGATTCAAAGTAAAGTAGTCGAACATCGTATTTCAGACAGAACTAATGAACAAGTACTGGTCCTTGCTGGAGACGTATGCACGTACGAGTAAGCCTATTTCATGAGTATCAAGGATGTAGCGGAGTCAGAGCGATTTCTCGGGTACTTTTTCAGTTTCCAGGGCGACATAAGTTATGGCTACTAACGTAATTAATATTATATTATACAATTCGTATTCGAAACTTATAGCTTCCATCAAAATTAAGCCGAAGCTCGTCTAAATAATATTTAAGAATTTAGTCCGTACCGCAAAGAAAACACACCACTTTAACCTTACAAAGATCAACTGGATAACGCTGTTTAAGGAAACGATAGCTGTTTACTGTAAGAATAATATGAAGCCTATATAAATAAATAATTCAGTGTTACTGATTGTTAAATCAGATGGTATAAAAAGTTACCAATCGGCTTCAAAGGGTTAGTTTCAAACGTGTTTGATTTGTAACCGTCAGCCCGTTATGTCTGAATTTCGAATTTAATTTTACATTTAAAATTGTAAAGCCATTATGAGGCATTTCTTTGAACCTAGAGCAGTGTGTCAGTCGTCCTCGACACTCATATTTTTAGGATTAAGACCCTCGCAAGCATCATCTCGTACACCACAGAAGACTGGATGATGTTTTAGGAACTGCTAGTACCAGCGGAATCTCATGTTTTGAAGACGGCACAAAGAGATGTCCTATCAGTCAAGTATGATAGCTCGTATTTCACGTGAAAGCTGGTATTATTTTTATAACGTTTCCAGCGCCGCTGTGGCAGCCAGAACGTATATAAATTACCCACTCTTAGTACATGTCGACCGCAGCGAAGCCTGACGGACGGGTTGCAAGATAAAACAAAACTACTTCTGTCCACATAAATAAAATATAGAGTAAGATTGGCCCATGTGACACGATGGAAATAAAATAAAAAAATACTGAATTAAGCTTCTGTTGTTCTTAAACCAGAAACACACTGTGAGCTTCATCTTTGATCCTCGGTGGCGGTGTTCGATCAAAAACCTTGTTTCCTGCGCGTTTCGTAACAATATCAAACTTCTATTAACTTTACACCGTCTGTCCATACACTAACCTGTAAACACGCCGATCCAAGTAAAGAATTGTTAAGACATTTTATAAAGAGATGTATCAAAGTAAAGCTATCCAGCATTTCGAGGGGGAGTGTATAGTTCCTCCCTTGTTTTTAAATAAATCATAATTCAAGTTATATTTGAGGCGGAACGTACGAAGAGACACTAGATTAGGTTTTTTCTATCCTTTCGCCCCCCCTCCCGGCTAATCATCATCCCACCAACGCTCCGTACCCATGTGTCATCGCCCCACGAGGTGATCGACAGCCCTGATGAAGGAGGCAGCAGGTACCTCCGAAACGTTGGTAAACTTCTACCAGAAGACAGCCATCTTCAGACTCACCGCTGTGATAACCTCATATCCTACAAATGTAATTATTTTAAACCGTCACGTGACGTTCAATTAGATAGGAAGACGCCATACGGGACAACATTTTAAATTTGCATATCAATTTTAATATTATCCTCAAGTTATTGCGTCCCATAATGTTTCGTGGATCCTTGTTTATGGACGCATGCAAGGCGCGTTGCTTTTGAGGTAATGAGAGTCAACAAACGCCACGGTGGTCTAGCGGTTAGAACGCTGGCCTTGTAATCCTGGGGTCCCGGGTTCGATTCCCGGCGGTGCCCGAATTTATAACTTGTGTTGGGCAAGGCCGTGGTCTAGGCAACACGGAGTTTTCCTCCGTGGCATCCCAACAATTACTCCTTTCACACGCAGAAGAAGGCAATGGCAAACCACTTCTGGATCATCTGCCAAGAACGTATATGAACAGGTCCCAGTCCGAGAAAAGGATGGAAGGATCCTGTTCATATGGACCTGTCCTCAGACAGAACACTAAATAATAAATAATAAGAGTCAACATTCACTTGTTAGATCGCTCCATAAAACAGACAGACACACGGAACTTCCATACATGCACATAAAAGATTTGCTTTAGGACTGACAAAGAAACCGAGCAGTTGTAGATTAGTGACTTATTGGTTGTTTAATGATGTTCATTCGTACAGAGAGGCCGCTGAATTTCTTGGAACACTACTCAGTGCAGTTAAACATGAAAGGCCACGCATCAGAGCTGCCGATATGTTTGTTTACCCAACAATAAAACTTGTATGGTCGCACATTTCCTGAGAAAAAACATGCATAAACAACAGCGCGAAACATAAGTCAACTACGAAAGTGTCTCCTCTTCAGTTTTAAGCTGAAAATGAGTTGTGTTTTATGCCATTGAAGGAAACGTATTTCGCCTTTTCTTAACTTCTTAAAGCACGGTGGTAATTATATATACCGCCTACTTAAATATTCAATAACTCTGCATTTTGCCTACAGAGTGTATTCAAGTGTTTCTTGTAATTCTCAGAATAAACCACGATTATTTACTTAAACAGCGTTAACCAGTTGATCTTTCGTAATGGTGAAGTTCTGTGTTTTCTTCGCGGTACGGTCTGATTTCTTAAATGTTATTTAGTCGAGCCTCGGTATTAAAGGGCTATTTAAAACAGCGTTAACTGGTTGATATTTGTAATGGTGAAGTTTTGTGTTTTCTTCGCGGTACGGACTAAATTCTTAAATATTATTTAGACGAGCTTCGACTTCAAAGAGTGCCGGATGTCAGATTAGTTTGAAAAAAGCTTCGGTTCATCAAATTTACATTAAAACAGACGCGATTAACATGCTTTATACGTAAATTCATTTACAATTTTGCGAGAACAAGACGAAATCATTCAGTATATTCAGATCCAACGCAAAAATGTTGACAAAACGAGGCATATGACACATTCGTTACGATTTACATGCAAAATTAACTTCGGTATTAGACCCAAAATGGCATTACCGTTGACAGAGTAACTCCCCACTGGACTAAAATCCTTAGTCACATTCTTAAGATCCATTTCCATCTTATTCTTGGTCTTCAAAGTGGCCTGTCGTTAAAATGTTTTCTCGCTTTCCTTACTTTCACTTATCAGAATCCACAAAAAGTAGATTTGAAAATTTCGCGGTGAATATAACAGAAGAATGGTTACTCGGAGGTAAACTGAAATGACCTGCGAGAACAAGTTAAGGTCCAACAGCAGCTTCTAGGACATAAAACTATTTTAGGCGTGCAGCTCTAGAGCACAATTCGCCATTTCGGTTTCGTTTCGTAAATCAGAGTCTCCTCACTTACCCTTCGCGTCTCCCAAAACTGTCTCCTCGTGATGTCACGGGACGCGGTTTCCACAGCAACAGATGCGCGGCCATGTCAGCATCAGGGTCGCAGGGGTGTCCAAGCGTTGAACCGGAAGCGACATCAGGGGTGTCCTTCCTCATTCTGCAACAAGGAAGATGCATGTTCAGCGCTCGCATCTTCGATTCAAGCAGGGGGAAAAAAACTGCGAAAAACAGAACATAACTCAAGACGTAGGATCTGAGTATGAAGATCCCTGTCTTCTGGGTTGCAGCGCCGTGTAGTCTGTTAAAAGTTCGCCCTGATGATGGAGGCAGGAAGCAGCTCTGAAACGCT